GAATGTGCGCGAAAATTCAGTATTTTCCTTGTTTAATATTCATTAGCCATGTCCGCAACTTTGTTCATATTGTCATCTCTGGCTTTAAAGTAACGATGTCTGCTCACTAATTGTAATATTATACTTTGACAAGGTTGGAAAACAAGTGTCATGAATGTATACCAATAAAGATAGATAACAGCAATAACAATTGTATGTACAGGTTGAATAAAGTTTTGTAGCTATAAGGAAATAAAATATGCTAATTAGAAAACTGTCCTTGGCTTTTTGAAACGAAGGGCGGGCGGTATTTGCGGACTGAAATCAACGTAGACGATCAATTTTCCCTTATAACATTTTCCTACATACTTATTTTTACAGAATTTTAAAATAATTAAATATTTAGACTTTTATTCGGCTTCATTAAAATAACATTCTATGATTCATAATTTAAATGAAAAGAAACATTTGATGATACCAATGCCGCATATTTTATTGCTGGTTTTTGCATTTCATTACATAAACGTTCATGAAAAATGCGACCCCTGAATATTTTAACATTTTAAAAATTAATTTACATTTGTAGATAGGTGTATTATTTAGCTGTCATGTAACTTTTGATACGACGCGACCTCTGCGCGTGCTTGCGCGAACTGGATTCTGAAGCGTTGTACTCCAGTCTCCATTTCTTACTTATATCCCATGTTAAAAATACATCCTGTATAATATATGCGCAGAACGTTTGTGAAATCCTCTCAATTAGTTACGGTCAAGTCATTGTCGGTTTTTGTAATTTGCATATAACTACATAGTTACAGCAGCGTTACGTTCCATCAACCACTGAAACCAAAGCTTTATATTCACGTATTTAATGTATTAGATAGCCCGATGTAACTATAAATAATACTGACATTTCAAAACACAGCAAAATAAATAAACCATTCATTAGATGGGTATCTGATTATAGAATGCATAATTTAAAATATGCTTGCCTTGTAAGTAGATAGTTATATAAGATTGCCCTATGATAGGCTTGCTATTATATGCACGTGTTCGTACACACGTTTACTTGCTACTGTTCAAAATAGATTATTAAATCTACATACAGCTTCAATAATTACTTACTAACATGTGTTTGAACACGAGCCTTCCGTTCCCTTAGCGTAATTGAGAAACGTTTCATTTAATCGGAAAACAATGGTATCGATCTAAATTACCCGCTGGCTTACCTGATTAGCTATATGGCACATACCTACGTAGCCACTTCGTTTGTGCTCTCATTTATCAATGCTATGAGTAATCAAACGGTAGCATGATAACTTGACGTGGGGGTACGGTTAATAATTTTATGATGTGGAGAAAAAATCGCGCGTCGCGAATTGCTCGAGCGGGCGCCATGTCATGGCGCCAAGTCCGCGCCGGCGACGACGCTGACCGCTTGCTTCCTCGAACCGTGCTATCACTGGCCGACATTATACAATAAGTAACAAATTCGACAACCTTCACGTCATTAAAGCGCCTCATTAATACACACACCAGCAGAGAAATCTTCATTTGTATGTCATCCTTGTTTGTCAGCTATGTGAAGATTTTGTATGATGATTTATTTGCACATCATAAATTTTGCATACTCTAGCACTCTAGCAGATCAAAAGCTTCATAATGAACTATTGTGATTCCTGTAGAGAAGTTAATGATGGTGGAATTATTTCGATTCGGTTTAAATGGTCCGTATCCTTAATTTATTTCAGTATCAATTAAGTCTACAGGATTTTATGTTAATGTTCACTTTCAAGGAATGCGCGTCAGCTTAGAATTTTGCGTAGCAACCAAGTTACTTAACAACTTGGGGTGAATGAATTTTCATTTTGCATTAAAATACAAATAGTGTTTCGGATTCTGCACGGCGTGGTACGTGAGACCTAGATTTCAGATGTAATAAATACGCATCTGTATCTTCTACGTATATGAATGACCCAATGAGACTGCATGCTCTAGTTGCAATTGATTGCAAACTTTCCTCTGGCTTTTTCCTTCTTGGTTCTTTCTTACAGCCCTTTTGTTGGTTAGTGTAGGTATGTGACGCATTGCTACCTACATTCAAATACTTAACACTTCACCCGTCAGTTTTGAAATGTATCGAAAATATGTAAATGCATTTAAACCTCGTGCAAAAAACCCGACTGATACGTTGAATTAAATGTGACACACACACGCTTTCGTCCTTGCCCTCGTTTAAGAATCAACATTAAAAAAGAACTGTGTTGTTTTCCTGGGGTATAAATAACAATATTTTTATTTAAAATACATACTGTCAGTGTCATTTGTCAATATTGATTTTCAATTTCAATGAGAAAACTGTTGACTAGGCATACACACAAAGTGGAAAAAATTATACACATGTTGCCAATTATTGTACCCGTTAATGATAAGTATATTGCTTTATATGTTATGTATTTGTGATTCAAAAATGTAATATGTACCTAAAGAAAAATATCTCTAATTATAAAAGTAACTCATGATACAACAAAGCTAAAAAGTTTTTAGGTAATCTTTCTCAAATTACTGTTGGGAAGCATTATTTAAAGTGAAGCAGAAATATTTTTTGTGATACTCAAAAGAAGCATGTAAGTGGGTCAAACCAAACGTCACGGGTATTATTTGCTGATTAAACTACAATCGTTTTTTCGTTTGACCGTTACCTAAATCAGCTGTATCATAATAAAATACAACTGAATGTCAATATTTTCTGAGGTGTGATTCATAAATGAACATCAACATTCATAACTGATTAGCCTTATAACATAAACCTTCAACCGCAAAATCCGCTGTTACATCACACGTGATTTATCAAAACAATAATTTCTATTGAAAAAACTTCAAATCTTCTCTTACAAATGACAAAGCCTCTGCTTCCGTTTATATAACACATACTTCATTAAAAATGTTCTACGGTAGTAATAAATAAACTTCCTACCTTTTGGCCAATTCTAATTCATAAGAGCAAGCAGTAAATGCAACATCGTAAACGACAACAAGGTCGGTGTTTGCCTATTGTTCAATGCATCTGATCGAAGTCTATCTAAATAAATAAACTTTTTTCCTGTAGTTGACCGTTGGACTTCCCCAAACTGAACGTCGATTCCGTTTCATCGAACGGAAAGCGGTTCTTCGAAACTGATCGGAGAGTTTGTTTGCTATCAGGATCTGAGAGGTCGTTCATAATCATTCGTGCATACACCTACACAAGCAAAAATCGTGATGATTGAATATTGTTTTACCTATTTGTAAGGTATAACTGGTCAGTTTTATGCACTTTTTCTATGTTCATTATGATTCATTATTTTTTTTTATCTTATTTTGAATACTTACATGATCTCAGAATACTAAGAACAAATAATATTCAGTAAATCTATAAGGCTGCTGTGTCCGTGAAGAGAAATAATCATATTCTTTAGTTTATGGAAATATGAGCAATTGAGCATGGATAGAGATACCTAATAGTGATGCGACCTTAAGTATTTCCCTATGGCGATAAAATAAAACTGGTGATTGCAAATAGCAATATTGTGGTTAGTTCGATCTAAGAACTCGATGCAATTACATTTAATTTAAGGGAACATTTAATTGTCTTCCACGTTTAACTATAAAGGGTTCATTAAGCGTTGTATGGGTAATTAATACTTGATTTGCCCGTCCCAGATACGGGTGGCGCATCGCAAGCTGCGATGGCGCCGAGCCTAACTGTCCACTGGCATTTGCGCATGACGATGTTACATGTGTATACGCGTAGCCTCTATCTATGCACATTTACTTCATTTATCTAGCAGCTATTAATTACCTTATCGCATTTAATGTTTCTTAAGAATATTGCCTTCTAAAACCATTTGAGCTGTTAATAAAACTGGCATTTTATTATCAAATTCCGAAACTCTTTTCAATAATGTCCTAGAATAGTAATCAACTTAATTCGTGACTAAAATTTAAGAAAACAATAATGCGTTTACTGAATAAGATCAGCTGTCACTCTGAGAATATTGCAAACAAGAAGGTGAGCTTGCATAAAGCTTGCGGTATTGCATCGGCTGGCGCGACGACTGAGTGATGGACCGTCCTGTCACGAATAGGGCCAACACAAAGCGGCCTAACTGTATGCGACAGGATGACCCCACATCAGATGGGGTGACTTACGACTCTTTGCTCTCGATTGCCTACTTAACTTGCAACAATGAAATCCGATTCCATGTACAATATTGAAAACAGTATAAGTTATTAATCACTGAGAATCTAAATTGTTGATAATGACTATAAACGACGTCCGTGGTCGTCGAATGTTTTACTAATTTTGGTGCGTATTCGTTACGTCACCGTAGCAAACCTACTTGAATTCCAGTCCTTGCATATTTTATGCAAATAAATTGAAGATTGCAATACAAGAAACAATTGGCATCGGTCTAGACTAACTATTAATGGATATTTACCAAGTACATTGAACAGCTTTCTGGCAACAGCATCTTGTTTTGAACTTACTATCGGGTCTCTTGAAAGCAAATGAGTGTTTTCAACAACTCCAAATCTTTAAACCATGATTCGACTAGGTTGGTTAACGGTTAAAATGGGTTATCCATACCGTTACATAATTCCCTCGAGGAGTGCATCGGATGAAAATTGATGTATGATCGAAGGTGATGGTGCGGCGGCGTGGCGGGGCGTGCGGCGGGCGGCAGTGGTGCGCGTGCGACTCTCACCGCCTTATCTCTCGCGACCTCCGCCGGACGCGCACGCACGCCGCGCTCCACCACCGTTACCGCGTCGCGTTCGCGCTATGCCGTCTTTTCGACAACAATTCTATGTGCACTCTTACTTGAACTTTTTTCAATTTTTAAGTGTAGGCCGTAGCCCGGAAATGCACCAGTGAATTAAAACTTTACATTGTGACATATTGTTGGTATTTTGTTGTATTTATTGAAAACAATAGGTAGTAGAGACAATACCGAAACGAACACTGGACCGTAACGACGATGGTGTCTGAAGGGGCTTTGCCCGTAGTATGGTGTATACGCGATAATCAACTTGTGCCTCACCAAGTATCCGGTGTTAAGTTACAAGGAGCTGTAACAGGAGCACATATAGCCGCTGTTACAGATTTTTTGCGTATGGTGGCAGGGACTCCAATTGTTCTTCCGCATACGGCGGTTCCTGAAGACGTTGATAATGACATTAATCAAGAAAAAGAAAATTCAACTCGAAGACGAAAAATGTCTATGCAGGTTGAAGTGCCTTGTGTTTTCCTCACTGAAAGCGCTTTACAAAAAGCTAAGAGCCGCAGTAATTCTAGAGAAGAAAAGGTAACGATTGAAAGATGTAATATTACCACAACTAAAATGTTGGATAGTAGTTCATCCTCTTTCCTAAGTTCATCTGATATTTTAGAAATGAAAGAAATTGAAGATAGTCATTCAGAAATTATGAAAGATAATTTTAAATCAAATATTTCTGAATCATCAATTTCATTAACTGAAAATAACTATCCTCAAAGAATAACGAGGATTATTGAATTAGATGATTTAAATCCGACTACTATAAATGTAGAGCCGGAAAGAGATCATCCACAAAGGATAACTCGAATTATTGAATTTCAAAATGACAAGTCGCCATCACCAGTTTGTACCGATGGTGAAAATGAAACATTGCAAAGGATTACACGAATAATAGAATTGAATGAAGATAATTCATTTTCTACCATTACAAATAGTACAGAGTCCCTTGACAAAGAATGTCCTCAAAGATTAAGTAGAATAATGGAAGTTGAAAAAGAAAACAACTTTCCGAGTATGACTAAAATAATTGAAATGGAAAACGACATATCAAATGAACGACGAATTTCCCTGACGAATGAACGTGAAACTGGAGGCGGAAATGTTGAAAATTGCAGTGAGGAAGTGACTGTTAGGACTAAGTTTGTGCATCGAAGTACTCCTAGGTTTAGTCTTGACTCTTCGTGCTCCGAAAACTCTTACGTTAATATTGAGTGTTTAAAGAGTTTGCAGGATGTTAGAAAAGAGGAAAACAATGAAAGCGGATTGAATCCTGAGATATCACCCGCTGGCAGATCTATTCGTTCTCGGTTTCCGAGGAAAAAAACGTCTGTATGTTCGATTGGCTCTTCGGACTGCGACGACGAGGTAGACGTAATTTTCAAATCCAAGCCTAAATCTAGTCAATGGGTCAGTTTGGATTGGATACCACCGCCTCCCAAAGAAGAGCCAGTGATAATGCAAGTCTGTGATAAAAATGATTTCATTACGAAATGGATAGCAGAGCAAAATTCGCAGGACTCAATCATTATTGCTGACGAGAGACGAAAGAGTCTTCCGCCGAAATCAAATGAAATATATCTTCAAAATATGAGAAGATTTAGTGACAGTTTACAAATATGTAAAGAAGACGCTGCCAGTGATTCTCCAGCTACAGTGAAATGGAAGTGGCATGATATAGTTAAACGTCACCTTCAGTTATTGAAAAGCGAGAAAGGTTTTAGGCGGCAAAAAGGTAGCTGGATGAGGACGGCGAGACGTCTTTCTGGAACAAATGTCAACCACAAAGACCTGGAGTCTTTGCCATTGGATACGTATATGAAACTTCAGACTATGCCGTAAGTTTTGTTATCCATAATTTTAATATCTTAATTTTAACTGATGTCAAAGTAATGAATGCTCGAATACTAATTAAGCAAATTGTTCTATTGTAACGAAGTTGCAATTCATAAATACGTATTCACTAAACGATATACCTAGACTTAACTATTCAAATGATTTTGATGTTCATTCAACCTCCATTCTATTATGTATACAATTTTACAGTGCGTTCCAATATTGCTCAACTAAATCTTCAGTTCTATTAGTAAATGTCTCAGAGTCAAAATTATGTTGCATTTAATATACGTCAAATAAAACGATTACATATGTCCTGCTTCCATGATTTTCTTTGCCATAATATATGCTAACCTCATGCTTGTAAAACTGACCAAATAACAATAACGATATGTAAACACTGTAAACGTATTTTTTACCTTGCTCTTAAATTGATAGTACATAACAGCATAGGTCCTTATATCAGGAGATCGAAATGTTAAGTAAGGTCAAGGCAAACTTTCATGGCAAATTTCCAAATTATGCTGTAACAAATGCATTTGTAATCATGAGACATTATTGTGATCTTCTTGAATATCACTCGGAAACTAACATCATAGATATATGTCGTTTATTATCGTACTCATGTTTTTGGACGTGGCTATCCGTGCCAGCCACTTCGGTCTACTTACCAAAGTCAACCCGTCCAGCGGGTGGAACTGGTTACCACCTCACGAAAGGCCCGCGACCGTCCATAGCTATGTACCAGCCATTTCCAATGGATGTTCTGTCTATATAAAACAAAAACCCTTAGCCAATCAATCGGTTCACTACCGGGAATCGCAACATTAAATTGATGATTCTTGTTAAAATAAATTTGCGGTTTTCCTTTTGATTCCAACACGTTGTGATAGAGATTCGATAACTGTCAATATAGTGATTTGTTGAGTCTGTTGATAAGGGGCCGTGTTACGAGAGCGGGTTCGAGGCACGCGCTTCCGCAAGGCCGCCCGATTAGAATGCAGGGAGCTCGCGTCCAAGGCTACGGTTGCGCGGCCGGTCGGTGCACCGGTGGCCGCTGTCTTCCTCCCCACAGTTCGGCAATTGGAAACAGGCTCAGGAAGTAAACCGTGAAGGTGACGCCAACACAAAACTTAACTGCCTGTCGATCGGAAGCGACTGTGCTTTGAATTTTTGACTTACCTACCTTTTGTTGTATAAAAATTTATGCGCTTCCTCAATCTTCTTGAATAATTAGGACACGAATAATTCATACCAATCGTCCATTTGAACTCGGAACTAATACATGTTTTGCCGAATTGTAATAAACAGATTAGTCATGTGTTTGGTACCTTGAATAGGAAATAAATTAAAGGAGGAAGTTCCTACATCTACAATTTCGATTACATACTTTGAAGTAAACAAACAAATAGCAACAGTAGTGATGCAGCGAGGTAAACGGATGCATCGACGCTGGTTTCACTGACGAGCCTTGAGAATTACTCTACTTGCACAACACAAACCGCTTATCATAATAATTGAAATTTATTACACAAGTTGCTGCTTCAATGGGGTGAATTACTATAAATATAATGCACGAACATGTTCTAAGCTCATAAGAACGCCCACGGTAAACATGGTTTCAGCAATAGCGATAGATGCAAAACTATAAAGATCTTAATTCACCGTAATACACTCGGATTTTCATTCTCCATCGCTTCGACACCGGTTGACTTTTGTTTGTGCGGGGCTACCGTTCTGAAAACAAGAATGTTGTGCTCAGTGTGCATCAACACTGCTATTGTACCAAATGGCTATACGCGTTCTTTGACGGAAACAAACGCATTCACATCGAAATATTTGCTTGTTTTTCAGTTTCACACAGTTTCTTGTTGCTTCTCGAGAAAAACTTTAAATAATTCAATATGTGAATTTTTCTTTTGTAAAATATGAATCGCTGAAGTATTGTTCCTTTCAGCATAATTGATAATTGACAATGAATCGATGACTTTAAGTAGTATACCTTGTAGCTATATTTTATATCTCTTATCAATCTCCAGGAAATCGCATTTATCTTATTATGTAGTAATACTTTGATTTAAAATTGATAGGGTATTGTAAATGTTTTCTTATCGTCATTAGTGTTTGTTTTGCAGACGCACATGACGTTGACGTGTAAGCTTTATGTATTTCAATATGAAATCATTTTTAAATAAACAAATCGAGTGTATGTGTTTATGTGTTGATAATAATAATTCTTTTGTTACCAAATGGAACTCTCTACATTAATTCGTGATACAATAGCAATCGTGAAATATCTCGTGTGTGTCCGTGATCGCCAGCTATGCTCATTTGTGCAACAAATCATGCAAGCTGTTTTGGCCTTTGAAGACGACGATGAAAAGGAACACTATCAGAATCAAAAGTAACAACTCCATTTTCCTTGTGTACAAAACAAATAACGCTATTCTGCCACCGCAATATATTGCGTGTATCTAAACATCGCGTAACCTCATTGATAAAAAATTAAAACAGCCTAAATATTATTTTGTAACATGAATTGCTTTTTACTCACTTTCACTATGTCCAACATTTAGGTTCCGTTTCGTGACGTCTCACTTAGTAGTCTCCATAGCGTTAAAAATTAACTTGCTTCTTTTTCAATATCTTACATTTCGCTTTCTATTCAAATCGTGAATCATTTCGTTTATTATATTTTGTCAATGACACTCTCGTACTGGACTGAGTGCACCACAATAATTGCTTAAGTCTGTTTGCGTACCTACAACAACAAACGCTCTGTTTATCGAACAATAACTTTGCATTGCAAATGTTTCTTTGTTATACAAACTAGACACGTGTTAGAAAATCGATGAAAATGACTCGTTTCTTATCAAAAGGCCTGAGGTCGTCTCTTGTGAAAGAACAATACAACTGGTTTTTATGATTTGTTTTTACTTTTTACGACTGTGGTGCGCGCCGCCTGCGCCGGCGCACCGACCTCCGCCGATAATTGTTACTTCTGCGGATGTTTTCGTGCAAACCATTTTCGAATGCGACCAACTATTATAACAGCAACGCAGTCGTATAAACATGTTACACTGCTACTTTTATTAACTAGGTAGTCGTTATATCCGTGTGATTAGACATTACAATGAACTTCAATCAAAGTGATGAACGAACCAAAGTGTTCTATAATGTATCTTAAGGATACGCACACTTTAAATACAATCAATTGTAGAACCTCTACCTTAAACAATCGCGTCATCTACTACTGGATCTATTGAGTGATTGCTGTCGACAAAGACTTTATTTCTATTAGCATTTTGCAGTACTTATCGTTACTTATTTATTTTACGTTTCGCATCATGCCCTTACCTGATTAACAGAAGGCAGTAATATTTAACGACTCATTGTAAAGTTCGCTAATAGTTCTCGCTACGCTAACAGATTTCTAAATGTTTTAATATCTGAAATAACAGTGCCGTTTTGGTTGTTCTGACGTAGTTCAAATGACTGGTTTGTTTATCAGTGACCGTCGCAACCGATATGACGATTTCTATCGTGCTTGTAAAGCCTCTGGTTATCGCGACTAGGTTTCTTGTACCGCATTATCTGTGTCACAATTCTTAGCACCTAGCTAGCTACCAAGGTATCTGGGAAGTCTTATTGTGAATTCATTCGATGTCGTCATTTGTATCACTGATATCCTTATCTGTCTCCTGCCTAAACAACTAACGGACAAACCCATATTGCTCGTGACAATACCGTTCAAAATACAATTACCGCAAACGGGGTTTGTGGATCACACATCTTAACTTTTTCAGAGTTCAATTTCCTCAAATTTCTAATGCGTAAAGAGATTTGATGAGACCTGTTAAAATATGGGAAAAATAAAGGATGTTAACAATAAAATTATTTAAAGAAGTGTAAAATCCTTCTCTAACAAAAAATTCTCCCACGGCTCTTGACAATGCAAGTTATAGTTGTTGCGGTATTAAATCTAATTCACTTGAGTCGTCTTAAAGTACACACGCATCAGTAATTATAGACCACTTTAACTGAACATTTTGTCACACGTGTAGACGTATCTATATTATTTTTTAATCAACTTGTCAGTATCACATTCTTCTTTCAATGAGTTGACAATAACCACTTATAACTATTCTGCTTAAAATACACTGAGTGATCAAGTTGTTACTGGATAGTCTTTAACTCATCCTATTGAAACGGTATCACTCTATCTCCTGTAAAAACAACTAGTATAGAAGTTTAAGGCAAAGTTACTTGTCCATCCCGAGAGTGAGACCCTATAATTAGATTACCCATCTAGCGAGCAACCCGGAGCCAGGCGAGACTGGCTTAGCAAAAAAGTTGTGGCTACATCGGCACGCGAAGGTCGATGACCGGCGCCTCTGCTTAACTCGCTATATTATAAAACTGTGAGCGAAAGTCACATAATTAATTCTCCCTGATTGCGCCACTTAGCGTCTCGGTGTCAAAGGGCTTAGTCCAAATTTTCTTCATACTGATAACCAAATCCTCTTATATAACGTAGACAGTTTTGTTGATGGCTGAGATAGTGAATTGATTTTTTATCACGATAAATCTATTATGATAGGTACAATATTTATGTTATCGAATTATGCCTCAATTTTGGCACGTGGTTCTCTATAATAGTCGGTCAACATGATGGCAATTATCGTAAATAAAATTTGCATTTCAAATTTTAATAATTTATCCGTGGGTTATCAATACTATGGGATTATTCTAATTGAGATGTTTGCAAACCGGAAACTTGATTATATAACAAAGCCAATAATGATATTTATTAGGAATTTCCGTCCCCCACTTATGCATCTGGCAACGTGCCTACGACATTCTATTTCGTAGTATTCAATGCCTTGACAGTTAATTATATAAGCGATTTTTATGTTTTCTGATATAATGACAAACAATAATGAGATTCCCAGAAACATTTGTATTTATCTACACTTACACATGTAAAATTACATTTAATATTGACAAACTAACACTTTTACTAAACTTTTTCCGTAGTCTAGACAAAGAAGCTGGTCAAATTTGCACAATGCTATTTGCACTTTCGAAAATCTGCAATTGAAACGTATCTAGTAGAATAAATATAGCGGCAAACTAGCTTGTTTAAATATGCTTCATCAAATCGGGACCAGGCTTGTGTACTGTCCGCCCGACATTTGGGACAAATATGTGCTATTTGTTTGTTTTTCTTGTTTAAAGTACCTTAATCGATATGATCCTGAACATTATTAATCTTTTAACTTACCTTTAAATTACCCATATTTTTACGTCTTCTCGGTAGAGTTACGCAAGTTACCTTAAACCGATAAGTGATATCACCCGTACACAATTCTGTGTCTAAGGTCTAATACTTAATAATATGTGGGCATGATTCATGATACAGATGACGATTTCTCTTCGCCTTTAGGAGGTCAAGGTCGCTCATTAGTCTGTGTCTGATACAATAAGACATTTATAGATGTTGATATTAAACTGTTCGATTTTAAATCCCGAACCTCTTCTATGATAAACATCCTTATTATCTATAATTATAATGGTAAGGTGAATAACTCTTACGGGTACTCTACAAGTACCAGCTTAATTCTTAATTAGAACCAGCTTAGATAGACTTATGAATTGACTTTCTAGATCTTTTTCGCTTAGATAATTTCTTCTTGTACGAGCGGGGTTTAGTTAAATGTTACACCTCCTCTCAATGAAGCATACTTTCTGTCTAGTCATGATTACATCGTTTTGAACACTTTCTATTTCTTATTATCGAGGAAATTAATTAGCTTAATAAACATGTGCATTATTAATCTATTCTGAGTGCGTTTTCCATGTTAGAACCTTCGACGCTATCTGCTAGTTACCGATCTATGACCCTAAGTATGCCCTTAGTGCGTGCCGAGGTCCCGCCGAAGGTATTCGTAGCTACATCCCGTGGCGCCCTTTTCATGTCGCATTTTTATAGCTCCGGCGACATTGTTCATAATAATTTTCCTCTATAATATCATCTGAAATTGTTATGGACTGGATAGCCTGTTTGACGGTTATAGAATTTTAACTAGATCAAGATGCAGCTGGGCCATTGAAATGTGCTACTATGCTGCAAGTCGCCGGTAGCTAGGCATATGATAGGTTGAAGGATAAAAACAACAGATGTTTGTCAATACATAATTTGATCATTTTGTAACGCTACGTGGTTTTAATGTGATTTTTACCAAAAGTAGGTCGTAGATCGACCTTTGTGATGTGCATTTCAGAATTGCAAAAATTCACATTATTCTGCGATTGCTCTTAGATATTGCCACGTAAGTTTATTCTTGTAAAACGGTTAGCGAGCTGTTGTGTAAACGACATTATATACTTGAAAGTATCAAGTTTATTTTTGTAAAGTTTCTATACACAACGGTAAGATAGAACTAACATAGATTTTAGTAAGTGTGATATAATAGCATCTGTGTATTTCAAATGACTAAAAAGAGTGTGTATTGCATTACGAAACTAGCACTTGCAAACCCACTTCTGTATGCTAACTGTACCTACGCAGATAGGTAATCAGACTTCTGATAAATATCGTGTACTCAGTCGTCCATTTAATTACAGTACGAGGGTCCTCCGTGATTCTCAGCCGGAACAATCTACTAGACAATAGTAATCACAGATCAATCAGATTTTCCAGTCACGAACGAGATGAAATGATTGTACAGACCTAGACGATATTATCGGCATTGAGCTTCTGAAAATTATCACTCATCTTTACCATTCAACACCCACATGACGTTCGTTCCAAGAAAACTAACAAGGTTCTTGGTCGTTTAATTGAATAAAAGGTAGCTAAAGCTGAATTGATAGTAGATCTGCTAATCGTTGCCGGTTGACCATTTAGACAAAAATAACGAAACAAAAATAACCCAAATCCATTTCGATTTCACGTAAATAGATTAGTAATTTACGTAGTAGGTAATTGTTTCTAAACTTTTCGTTTAAACCACAAGGTTGTTATGTTAAGTTGCAACAATTCTAAAAATATGACCGGTGGAAGTGATCGTGGCTCTTTTTACCGTTTTACAGCTGTACCACTTAGATACTATTTTTATATCAAGAGCCCGTCGACCTCGCCCGTCTGTCGCGCGGGATTTGATGCAATACTATTGTCAGACCCCTACAGCTTTGTTTTGCAATACTTCAATGAGAAATGAACCTGATTTATACTCGTGTATTAGTATGACTATCATAATTGCGATTTGTCTCTAAACATCGGCATCGCTTGAACAAAATTTGTCCCGCTTTTATTGTACAAGTTCTGTTATTTCGACTAGGTGACAAATTATGATTCATTGTTGCCGGTGGAGCTCATGTTAAAAGCGCTTACTACAATAAGCTTGTCTCCGGCGCGGACGCAGTGAGCGTACGTCAATTGAATGCAGAATACTATTCATTCGTGCTCGTTGAGTCACCGACAAGCCGCTTTCTGAACACCCTACGAGAGCGATACCAGTCCTTTATAATGCAGTCATATTGTCATTATAATGATAATCACTTTGTACAACGTAATGAAATGCTCCTCAGATGGACAATTCATTAGTTGTCAGCAACTAGATGTTCAATATTAATTACATTGTTACAACTCGCGTCCATTTCGTTTTTGCTGCTTCTGTTCATCTTGTAGGCAACGTAATGCAATTTTAAATTCGTTTTGCTTTTTTATGTTCTCGCCCATATGATTCATACATTTTACCTTCGATTTTTTATACTACAAACATATTATATTTTTGCACTGCATGTTTGCTGTTATGATTATTATCGACGGCCTCAGTATTGATCGCAATTTCGATAACTCATATTTATATATTTTTCAATGTTGTTACAGATGGTACTTCCGCAAAATAAAACGAATCGAAGCGGAGAAGAAATTGCTCCTCCCCGAGAACGAACATGGTGCTTTCCTCATCAGGGACTCGGAAAGCCGCCATAATGACTTCTCACTATCAGGTAATATCACGTCACATCATAAAACAATACACTCTGTGTTCAACTTAATAGGATGTCGTTAATTTACATACACTGCATTATACAGCGTTTATTATCTAGTTGTTAGTTCGGAAAATATAAGAATATAATATGTAGTGTGGTACTAGATGGGTATGATTCATCGTGCGTCCTGTGGCACGCAGGATAGTGCTAAGTGCTATCCTGTTACAAACGCATCCAATGGCTCTGGACGATTCGATCACGACGCAAACCGGTTGAAAGTTTTTCTAAGGCCCCTAGCTCAGGCGCCGTGGGAACAAAGACCGAACAACTGAATGACTGCCTCGATATCTGCTAATTAGTATTGTTTATAAATGCAAGGCTTCAGCTACACGCTTTTTAACTATTTTTGATTTAGTCAGCCATCTTGCAGCATTCCGAACAAAACGTTAAGACGTGACCGCTGTCATCTATGTCTGAACTTATTCTCACGTTCAACCAGACTTATACAACCGAGATATTTATTTAGTATTTGCATAAAATACGGGTTATTATTTGACTAGTTGATTTCATTCTTAATCAAACCGCTGCTATGAATGAAATGTGAGTCTATAAAACTAAGAATGTGTGTCGAGTCAAAATATTAATGACCTATTTTAAATAATTCTTATTAGTCATTCGAAGTAAGTAATAAAAGTAGTCTTCTGCAGTTTTGTAGACTTTTTACGTGCTACCTTGTTAGATAATTTTCTTTGAATAATGATTACAAAATTGCCCGTGAAGGTTAGAACAAACGTCAAAACGCGGCGAAACTTTAATTACATTGGTTTTTCCGCAGCATGAGTTTTGTTCTTGTATTTTCCACGAGAAAATTGCGACTGAATTAAAAGCATTTTTCTTAAAATACACTCTGAATAGGATAAAATGTTCAGTTATTTGTGAAGATAGATGTCGATTATTTCTAGCGTTGGTTAGTTTTTCATCCAATGACTTTCTTTGTATAAATTAAGCACACACTTAAACCATAATTCTGATTCATAATTGCCTTTAATTATATTCGATTATGTGCATTATCCATAATGAATTGATGATCCATAGTTCCGCTAATTTCCTCAAATGCATCATAAAACAAAAATGTTGCCTTGAAAAAAAAAAGAGATCTCGTGATCATAAAATTGTTTGTAATTTTTTAATTGATGCAGGAAAAAATAATAGGAACGTAAACGAGAATAATTTAAAATATTCCTTGGGTGCTTGCGATATAGGAATCTTTTGATTTATTAATTAAATTTTCTAATAGATGTTAGGTATTGCGCGCGCGTTGATGTAATGTAGAGCAGTAGTAATGTGGGCGCGCGACAATGTTACATCATGTTCTAACATCAAGGACGTTAATCTGCTTTTTATTATTCTTGTGGTTTCTTAGAACATAATTTATGTAATAACTGTCGAATACCACAGAAGGATACCAACATTTCTAACTAATCGGTCCAAAGAACAATACTGATTTCTATAGAACGTTCTGCGTTGTATTGTATATCGTTTCATTTTTTAGAACTCTGATTTACCGCAGAATCTAAGTGAAGTGCATAAAAGTACTCTCTCATTTATGCAGTCAATCTTTATTAGGTCCGGTTCGTGTTCTTTAATAAACCCATGTCAGTCACTTTGTACATTATTCAAACAATTTATGTACAAAAAGTGATACAATTCAGCAAATACGATCGAGATTTACAAGATAAACTCGATAAAATAATTATGAACATGCCTAATCCGTTTAAAAGTATTGTAATACCACATGTTTTATGAGTTTTCTCGGAAATAATTTTTATCTATATTTAGGTAAGTATGTTTTATGCGACGTTCATAAAACTGAAGGTGAAATCTGTATTCATTGCCATACAAATAGATATTAGTTTTATACTTATTTTTAAATAGATAAAATTGTTTTCAAAGAAAATGCCGTGTCATTACCTGTCTAATCTACCGTTCCCATATATAGCGAAGTTTAAGCCATTGTTTTGTGAAGCAGAACCTTTCCACTTGAGTTCCTGCTCATATTTGGGTCTCAAATGGCTATGGCCTACATTCCGATTATCTGTTCTATATTTAACTTCAATCGATATCCCACCTGGGGTACACAGGAAATGAGGAAAGTGTGTTAATATAATCTACAACGAATAACCATGAATATTGAATATGATAATATTCATCACGAACAAAGGAAATGCTATAATTATCTTGATCAATTTTATATTTCTATCTAAGAATTCTGTGCGTGCTTTTGGTATCACTTTCCTAACTGTGTGCTGTTCGAATAAACTTTCACAATCGATCGCCGGGAGATGTATTTATTTATTTATGTTTAGAAAGAGCAATCCTATTATTGATATGTACATTTATATCTGCATATTGAGTTAATACCACTACAGCCTTCTAATTGCTCCCCCATAAAAACCTTCCTACATTCAGTACGGCTTATATAAAATTTATATAAGCCGTAATTTATATAAATTTATATAAATTTATATTGCTTATATAATATTTCTAAGTTAGTACGGGTGTCGCATAAATTTCCCGACTGCTTTCTCGATCAATGAAAGTGAAGTTTCGATTCTTTCACTTCAGCAAATTAAAACTTAACGTAGAACAAAGTGGTATGTACTTGTTACCGTCCGAATTTGGAAATTTGTTGAATACGATCGTTTTAGTAACTCTACAAGAATTTGCAGTTTGATTTACACAATTTTGCGCTTTTAAGTGCTAGGACTGAGTCGTTTGTTTGAGCTAGTCCGATTTACTGTTAGCACTACGAACGTTGTCAAATATTATGCCAATATAGAACAAATTAATTAGCCTCACACATAGGACATGAGACAGCGAATCTTTAGACTGTTATCCAATAACAATCAGCTCGTGAAATAAATCATGGTACGACCCTAATGCGTATTAGTATAGCCACATGCCATTCAGTACCAGTTTTATAACTTGTTACCCGAGCTATGACATTTCAAACATGAGTCTTTATTTTAGGGTACCCCAAATAATAAAATCTCGCTATAATACAGATTAAATCAAATTCGACTTAATTGTGCTACACATGAGTATCATTATTAAAAATAGGTAAATATTGTTAATCCAATATTAACATATGAACATACCATCTCTGTACTATTCATATATTAGGTGTGTCTGACATAATTAACAACTAATTTAAAGATAAAATGTCGCGCATTCATTATTCATTGTTGAAGAATCCATTAATGAAATGAAACCAGTTATGATGATGAAATCTTATTTTCAAGATCCATAATGAATATTTTGGAAAATAAATTAGTTCTTGCCCCCAAAATTATTATTTGTATTTAATTCCGGCAAGCTTTATCTGCTCTATTTTTAATATTAAAACATTTTAGATAGACGTTATTGTTAAATCTAATGCATGGTGTAATCTTCTTCAAGAATGCTAGCAGTAAAGCTCTAGAAGAGAAAGTGCAGGGGTCATTAAGAAAATTTATCCAAATTCACGCAACACCATATACAAGAGGCTTGTAATAATGTGTGATTAAAACTCAATCAAATCACGTTAATATGCGGACGTTACACGGCTTTCTAGTTCTGTTTTCTCATTGATCACGTACTTATCATCACCATTAGGATTACTTCAGCAAAATCGAACGCAGATAACACTGTTGTAATATCTCAATTTGCGTTTATTTCATATTTTCTCTCGTATGCTTACTACATTTTATGCATCAACAGCAATAAAGATTTATTTACATCGTAACACTTACATAACAACCACGAGCGAATATGAAAATAAAATCGAAACAACATCACTAATTCTAAACATAAACAATTTAATGAAAACGTGATTAAATGTCAGTTAAATATTACCTTCATCAACTCCACCAATCGAAATGTCAAAAAACTGACGCGACGTTTCGCAGAAACTCACCCATTAATTATTATTCAGGCTGTATTCTCGTGGCATTAGCAAGGTCGAGATGCAAGTTGCACGACCTAAGATAAGTATGACAGTCTCAAAAACCAGAGATGTATGTCCCGATATAATGTCAGATAGTCTCTCTTAGCGACTTCCTAGAATTAAAACTTTCTTTTTGAGACATTTTGATGGATATACTGTTCTTATTTCTGTGCAACTCGTTGGCTCGCCACTGTGGCGCTAGCTTCATGAATGGCTCCATATTTCATTTGTGACAGGGTTTGCGGCGTTTTTTAATGTACTACTAATATTTTTCTTTGGTGCGAGTGCTGCCCACTAACTACGGCTAGCCCTGTTTCGGTTTAAACATTTTGAACTTTGAAATAAACCAAGTATGATTCATAACAGTCCACATATAGATCATGCTACTCTTAATCAATTCTACGTATTATGACATTACATTATAGAACTTACAACATATTTAATTCTCTATGAGTATTCGCACTCCAGTTTTACGCAATTTGTATTGCAATAAAATGCAAATTAATGAATAATTGTTGTTCACAGTGCGAGACGGAGATACGGTGAAGCATTACCGCATCAGGCAGTTGGACGAGGGCGGTTTCTTCATCGCGAGGCGCACTACCTTCCGTACGCTGCAGGAACTTGTGGAGCATTACAGCAAGGACGCTGACGGCCTCTGTGTATCACTCAACAAGCCCTGCGTACAGGTAACACAAACATAAAGTTTCACGTTTTACATAAACACAGGATGTTCTTCGACTCCGTTGTCCTTTTCTATTCCCTGGTAATCGTATATCGAATGCACATCGTAAATACTAATCTAATTCAGTTCCCGTTTCTTATCCATAGTCAACAGTTATTGCTAGAAGCCTTATTAAAATTGTAAAACAGTTATTCTACCAAGTGTGATCTGACATTCTTTCCGAATGCATAATGCCACATACATAACACTTGAGCTTGACCCGACCTTCCGCTCGATGCTATAATAAATGATTGAATTCGACATTTGATAGAAACGCACAATCATGGAATCATAGTGTTGTCAAGTCAAGGTCACGGGTTTGGAATAAATAACAAATTACAAGCAGAATATTTATTATAACGGAGCTGCATAAATTGCAAAATTCAATATCGGGACGACTGTAAAATTTATGGGTTTCGACGGGTCAACCTTTGTGCGCCGCGTGAGAAATATTACAAGGCATTGAACGAGCTCGAGGATACTTTAAATTCACCGAAGGACTCTGCTTTTCTCGGACAAAGAGCATCGTCATATTTAAGTTATTTAAACCGAGTGTGTATGGCCCAGTAAAGGCCGTTAACATTTTCAAACTTTTATTTATTGTTATATGAACATTTTCCGGCATGCCCTCGATCATTTCACAATACAATTGCGGAAAGGATTTTTATGTATCAAGTGATTTTCTCAAACTATATAGAAACATTTTATAAGTTACGAATCGAAGCGAATTATAAGTTACCTTTGCGTCAGTTGAGTATTTAAAATTAACAATGCTCCACTCCTCGCAACACGTGTAAATTCCATTTTGATTATAATTGTACAGATATGGCGCACCATCACGTAATTAAATGCAAGCTTTACGGATTCTTCGTTAATGACTGTTTGTGCGACTGTATCGTCTGTCACTGTTTTGTTGTTTGTTTGTCCGTTTAATTGCAGTAAAACTAGAATGACAATTTATGTTGTCTCATTACGGCATGTAATTGTCTAGTAGCCACATGGCTGATCATGCATTATTATGACGTACCTCGGATTAAGGACGTGGTCCAATATTTGTCAATGCGCGCGGTGCCTCCCCTATACCATGATACAATTAACATAACTGTCGAAATACAATACACCGAAACTCATTGAGGAAATCGTGACGTGATGTTTGTTTACGTTGATCTCACAACAATCTTGCAATTTATGTGTTTTAATATTATGCTACACAATTAACATATTGAGCATCGAAAACACAAAATTCGCTGTTCCAGTTTCGCGATCGACCTAGCGCCAAGGCCGCGAAGGCCCCACTTTCGTTACGGACAGTGCGTACATAACACAAGGCATCCCGCTCGATGACAACTCCATTGTTGTTCATGTTTTCCTCCGTCACAACAACGTCAGCAACATTTATCTCATCTTATTTGTAGCCACAACATTACTTAATCAAAATGCAAATGAATTTAGTCGCTATTCACTATGTCCTTATTACTGTTTTCGCAAATCATTAAAGTCAGCTTAGGCGATCACGAGTTATCTCATCGGCAATCGTGTGGGAACGACACTTTGATTTACAAATACTCTGAATATTACAAAATTATATGAAACGTGTTATATTACTTAACTGTTTATCAGCTTTTTGCATGTAAGAACTGCACGTTAAAAAGACATGCTATATTTCTAGGTCAAGAAAGATTTGATGAAATCAAATGGTCAATCTAATTCCAATGGGGATCCACTCGTTATGACTGGATTATTGTTTACTTAAAAAATTACAAATCGTACCGAGGTATTCAGAGCGAAAACATGAAGTAACAATTAAACAAGTATTACAGAATAGTTCAAATTATTTTTTAATATATAACACAAATAATTATTAAGTATAGGAACTGCAGTAGACGTATAATTTAATGCGTCTGCTACTATTTTTAACTAAGAAACGAGTTTATAATCGCGAGTGTGTTATCAAAGATGGTTTAGTACAAAAAGATGGTAATTACGACCTTGCGAGGTTGGTAAAGCCTAAACCTGATCACTGGAAACCTTCAATGATGAATTGTTTTTACAAACATTTTTAATGGAGGTTACTTCTACGTTTGTAGTCCAAAAAACAAAGCGAAAAATGAACAGTTCACGCTTTATGAATGGAAATGCAATTAAATTAATCAAAATAGGTACAAAATAAACTTGAAGTGACGTCAACCAATTATAAACGAGGTCTATTGTTCATTTTGTGTCTCGTTGCAACAATTGTGTTTACTTTTCTAATTAGCGGCTGGTTCCTTCTTATCGATGTGTCGACTCAAATTGTATGGAGGGAAGTAAATGTGTCGATAGCCAACATTTACCGTACTCACATATATGTGAATTTACACATGCACATTTAAGTCATATCAATTCATTTGCTCACATGCCTTGTTAACTATTACAAAATGCCATTAAAATAGAAAGTTATGTAAAGTGCAGTAGCGTACACGGTTTCAAATTATTTTGTAATTTTACGACTTTCGTACCAACGGTTGTATTGTACAAGCAAAGGTAATATGAAAAATGAAAATAAAGCTGCCTTGTGCATCGAGACAGTCGCTACCGGCGGTTAAAGTTCAAGGACGTATTCATGAACTTTAATTCTACAAAGACAAACCAAACGACTAGATAATACAAGTACAACCATTTGTTATTACTTGTATTTAAAATTAGCCTTATCTGCTTGATCGATTCAAGCTTTGTTAAGCTGTAAATACCTGTCAGACGATGTAAAGTACACCTTCGACAGGTAAATGAGCCTTAATGTTGAACTCAAGTTCGTTAATTGAGTGGCTACTTGTAATATGTAATGTTTGACCTACGCAAGTGACGTAACAAAAGTCGCTCGTACACAGCAGTGCCCCCCTTCACTCTTTACCTTATCAACTGTATACTGTTAGCATTTGCGGAATTTCATTGTTTCCATGCGTTTATTTATACTCACCATTTCTCGGCGAGCATGCGGTTTACTGCCTCGTTTCAGACCTCGAGTACCTACATAGCGAGACCTCAATATTTTAATCACTCTATTCTAAGCCTTATGGATAGGTAAACAATTCATTTTGAAGCTGCAGTCGTATGAGAAAATAACCATATTTAGCACCGATAACCACAACACCTTACTTCCAAGAAAACCAATCACTGCGCTTTTAAATTTTTCAATCATCGTTTTTTTACTTAAGCACCTACCTATATGTATAAAAATAATTGATAGTATTAATTTATTACGTCTTGTTTTGACGTAGAGTTTTGCTCCTTGTTACGAGATTCATCATAGTTGTGATTTCACTTCTAACTGTTCAATATGATTGATTGTGTAATAAACATAATATAGCACTTTCTGCGATCACCTTATCTCCTTACTCGTCTGTTACATCAACTTCAAGCACATAACGTTTACGCGAAACCAATTCTTAGTAAAGTTTGCCGGTTATAAATTCGATATTCCTGTTTCCCTATGCCAAAGCGGAAGAGTTATAAAATTAGCATTTAACTAGCGGACAATTTTTTTTCAATTAAGGTATCATGTATATCTAATACGTGCTCTTTAGTATGCATACTTTGGTTTTCATTAATTCGGTCCGTACATTGTTCAGTGACGTGTTTCAGTGTGTTATGTTATTATGGCATACAATGACGTCTGACCAAGTATTTCACGCCCTTCAAATCTGTAAACACATTTATTGCCTTTATTTTAGGGCAAATTCTATGTTATCATATTTATATATCGAATATTTCTGTTGATGAGTAATCTGATTGCTATTTTATTAACAGGTAAATCTAATTATTTTATATCTGCTAATAAATAATTATTATGCAATTTCAGCCGCGTTCTGGCCGTTCAGTTTTTAACCGATATGATTACCATAACTTGTGAACCAGCCGAAACTGCGTATATTAAAAAGCTAAAACCCGTTCAGGAAAAACTAAACATTCACGACATTCTTGTCCATTTTGCGGAAAATAAACATTACTAAGTTATTTGTTTACCAAAGACGTCATTCAAACGAATGTCCAAAAGTCGTAATACCTAACAATTATAGTGCATCGGACTATTTATTTACCAACGTAAGATATCGCCTTCGTAACGTAGTTTATGTGACTGCATCAACGTCAACATAATGTAATGAAATCAAAAAGCACGTCATTTCAATAAACCTACGACATTCGGTGTAATGAGCTATGACTATTATTCTTTTATTGCTATTAAAGTTCAGGTCTTACAACGGTACGACAAATGCGCTTGCTTTGAAATTTAGGATCGTTCTCTTCCGCAACATCACTAAACAATACGTTGCCACATCAGCTATTCTTTCCAACGTTGTCATTGAACCCGTTCTGCGTACCATGCTGTAACACCCTTAGCCTTGAAGTGGTGCTAACGCAACACCACTTTAGCTCCGTCACCCCTCGGTAAAAAACGGTATTTCTGAAGTACATCTCGAGTATTGTATAAGGGTCGCAAGTATTTACCGAGCATGTAGGTATTGTATAAGCAATGGAGTGGAGCGTGACAGGCACACCAGACGGACGGTCGCGGTCGGTGGACAGCACCAAAGTCTCATGTTACAAACGCACAACGCGGTGTGAATTAAAAATGGCAACACTACATAATAACGCACGGATTTAATGCCTTTTCCAACTGAGCCGCGCATTGTCTTCGTAGTACAGTCCACAAAAACAAACAAGATTAAAAGTTAAATCAAGTTCGTCGGGTTTGGACTCTGAAACTTTTTTCATACATCATTTACCCAACGGTGGACGGACGTTCTTACCGAAATAAAGTATCTAGTGTTTGCGGTGTTTACTCACAAAATTTCTGTATAATTTTATATGCATAACCCTGAGAAGGCCTGTAATTTTCTGTAACTCTATACGACAGTGTGCCATTATTTATGTAGGTATTGTGGCTGTAGTATACCCTGCAATGGACGCCTGCATTAAACCTTGACGGCTCGTGTCGCCTCACAGTCTGACACTCTGTCACTCAGTCTGTGTACTACGTTTTTAAGTCAGACACTTACATAACGTTAGCTCACCTTTTACCGACAATAAACCAAGTCTACTAATAAAAAGTATTGCCCATTGTTTGTATTATAGTAAGAGAACAGTTACCAATTACGTTTAGCCCCGTTTCGTGCGAATTTTATTAGTTTCCATTTCTACTTGACATTAACGATCACTTGGAGCGAAGTAATTCAATTAGTTTGTATCAAATTAAAAACTTTTATTGGTACATATTACTAACCCATATTAGACATTACTTTTTAGCGTGTTCCGCGTAATTTAAACTGCAATTCAATCGCCACATTATATATACTACTGTTTTCAATCCAATTTTTAATTTATTATAATTCAGAGCAAATAATTCTATAGTATGTAACCTTGTTTCTATAATGAGTTCTTTAAACAAGATTCTAGACGTATCGACCGAAAATGCAGGCCATTGACTTCTTTGTATGAATACCCCCAAAGGACGATACCGTCTGCTGTCTAGACAGACCTGTAGCTCGCATAGTTGGGAGATAAAAGTAAAATAACAATATATTTACTTTATGAAAGAGTTCAAACTTTAGTTTTTAATATTATATAACAAGTAACGAAGAGTTTTTTGCCATCAGTACGGATTACTCATTCATGTCGATATTGTATTCAGATCTTGATCGAACGCGAATAATCTATGTGTGACTTCTGTCTAATTTGCCTCGGGTATCCTGACAGTTTGGATTCTTATTTGCCTTTTAATATGACTTCTCTTTATAGTTTCCTTTCCACGAACACCTCTTGGTAATAAATAATAATATTTCCAGTTAATAAAGCTTGAAGATAAATATCTGAAAGTATACAAATAACACGCGTTCTGCCTTATAATCTGTAGGCGTTACGTAAAACGTAATTGAGTATCTAAACACTAGTGAGAAACGGTCTAACAACTGAACCGATCAGAATAATTATATGAAACTACATTAATTGGATGACAATCGACATTGTTACATTTACGATCCATTGTTATAGGGTAAAAAACTTATTATCGGCTATATAATCACATCGGTCAGGTCCGCTGTAAAATTCCAGCATTTAAAATTAACTAAATATACGCCAAAATATAAATTTATATTAATTTTTAAGTTGTTGGCTCTGCTCGATATCACGACTCGATCTAAATCTGTTAAGAATTTTATGAAAATTGGTTTAGCTATTAAACGTGAAAGCGTAACAGACGCTTTTATATTTTATAGTAGGTAGTTATTAGATAGGATATAAAATTAATACTACACCATGATTATAATCACAAACGCACTTGTTGACGTACACAACGTTTATAATACGATACGAAGAAATAACATTATTAAAATTGCATTTATGAATTTATAATTCTGAGGAATCTGAGTTTTTTTAGTAAAATATTGCCTGTTTAGCTATAATTGACATTACGATTATCTTATAAACGTTTTTCTCCTTAAATGATGGTGTTATCAAGTAAACAGACTTAATGAAGTACCTAAGCATAACAGAAATTATATTACTAAATTTATTCACAGATTGAGAAACCTGTGACGGAAGGTCTCTCGCACCGAACGCGCGATCAATGGGAAATCGACCGTTCATCGCTCAAGTTCGTGAGGAAACTAGGGCACGGTCAGTTTGGTGAAGTATGGGAAGGTCTATGGAACAACACCACTCCAGTGGCCGTGAAGACCTTGAAGTCCGGTACTATGGATCCCAAAGACTTCCTCGCAGAAGCTCAGATCATGAAGAAACTGAGACACAACAAACTCATTCAACTATACGCTGTCTGTACACTCGAGGAACCTATCTATATTATCACTGAACTTATGAAGAATGGATCCCTTTTGGACTATCTACAAGGTAATTTTCATTTATTTATAAACCAGGAAAATTTTTATTTAAATATGTTATGGATTCCTCATTCCTTTTTTTTCCTATACCAGGCAAAGGTCGTTGTCTGAAGCTGCAGCAGCTTATCGACATGGCTGCGCAGATCGCCGCCGGCATGGCGTATCTCGAATCACAGAATTACATACATCGCGATTTAGCCGCGAGGAACGTGCTGGTTGCCGACGCTAATATCGTGAAAATCGCCGATTTTGGTCTCGCGAGGCTTATCAAAGTAAGTCCCTTAACATTTATCGTATTATTTGTTAGCCTTTTAAATACAATAAGTGCGACTAAATTGCATAGTTCAATTCATTTTTAACTTGTACCAAGAAACGTCAATCCAAGAAATTATTTTTGTTAGTTACGACAGAACAAATGCGGTTAGCTTTTCCTTCCTTGACGTTTATTTTCATCTACTTAGCAGGCAAAACTTAATCTTACCGCAAGAGGAAGGTATGTTTGTGTGTGTGGTTTTCCATGAGTCACAATCCTTCCTTTTCCCTCTAGTACAATCTGTTTAAATTAATGTATTTGATTAGAACAATGAGTAATAAATAACGATAAACTGCTTGTGGTTGATGAAACGCCATCACACAACTTACGACGCGTGACCACTATTACTCGTGTTCACTTGGATTTTTCAAATTATTTTCTTTGTTTTCTTTAAATACAACAACAACAACAACATAACATCACGCCTTTTATCCCCGAAGGGGTAGGCAGAGGTGCACATTATACTACTGTACAATGTAACACCCACTTTTCACTATTTATGTTATGAGTCCCATGTAATAGGGGGTGAGCCTATTGCCATATACCGGGCACAATTCCAGACTCTGTGCTACTACTGAGAATATTTAAAAACCCAGTAATACTTTGCCCGACCCGGGAATCGAACCCGAGACCTCTTGCCCGGCAGTCGCACTTACGACCAGTCGGCCAACGAGGCAGTCATTTTCTTTAAATAATTTTGTCATAAGTTTCTACTATTTTTAGTAATAACGTACGGATATAAAACCGAGTACATCCGTATGTACAGATATTTACGGATGTAATAAAAATAACTAGTTTTGCTGTTTCGACAAGACAATCAAAATGTACTACAGTCTACCACCATTGACAACTCACACACACATACTTCATAGCATTGTAAAACAAAAGTCCGTTAAACCTACATACATGGTGTTCCGTTAACAGGAAGATGAGTACGAGGCCCGTGTAGGCGCTCGGTTCCCCATAAAATGGACGGCGCCCGAGGCAGCCAACTACAGTAAATTCTCCATTAAATCCGATGTCTGGTCGTTCGGCATCCTCTTGACTGAACTCGTCACTTACGGCCGAATACCTTATCCAGGTGAGTGCTTCCACTTTCGAATAACCGTAGTTTCTGCAAGCTGTCATGAAGTTGCATCTTTCATCTGTATTTAATTTGTTTACACATTTTTTGAAGTGGTTTTCAATTGAACTTTTTGAAGGCTTCCGATGAAATTTGAAATGAGGACATCGAGAAATTCGGTTGACTGATTTCTACAGATATGAAAAAATTACTTTTTACTTGCAATTACAATACGACTGATTCTTACTGCTCTTGCACTTATTAACAAAAAATGCATTTTCAACAGGTATGACAAACGCTGAAGTTTTACATCAAGTCGAGCACGGTTACCGTATGCCGTGTCCTCAGAATTGTCCTGCAGCCCTTTACGAGATCATGTTGGAGTGCTGGCATAAAGATCCTCTGAAGCGACCCACCTTCGAGACTCTGCAATGGAAGCTCGAGGACTTCTTCACCATGGACAACTCCGAGTACAAGGAGGCATCCGCCTACTGAGCCCGGCCCTCCCTGCCGCCCCACCGACACGCACACTCGCATCATGTAAGTCATACTCTTCCAACATAAACTGTACAAACAGTTTACAAGCATTAAACCTGATCATAAAATAATATTTCAATTTGGTTTGTCAACAGACTCCAGGCCTGTATCACATGCCGCCCGAGCTGCAGATGTTGCACAGTAGCACGTCCATGCAGTACCTGCAGATGCATCCGATGGCACAGACCAGCCTCGGACAGATGCAGGCCGTGCACCAGGCGAGCATACAGATGCAGGCCGCGCACCAGGCCAGTCTGCAGGCCGCTCACCAGGCCAGTATGCAGGCGCACCAGGCCACGCTGCAGGCGGCGCATCAAGCCAGTCTGCAGGCGCACCAGGCCAGTTTGCAGGCGGCGCACCAGGCCAGCCTGCAGCTGGCGGCGCGACCGCTGTGCCAGCACCATGCGCGCCACGCGGCGCCGCCCGCCACGTATCGTGCGCCCTAGACCCCCCCCGCACCACGCGCCGAGCGACTCGTATGCATACAGTCTGCGTTTGATGATACGACCAGCGATGTGCAGGACACACGCCTTCCGTTACATTCCCTTTATGATTGACGGAGCTGTCAGCTCCCGCTCATAAATTCTTGCTGGAAAGTCACTTCTATTGTGACATATGATTATTTTTGAACCTCGTCGTGAGAGGTCATGATTTTATTATTGCAAGACGAAGTGAGTTCGAGATATTATGCGAATATGAAATGGCGACGTAGACGTAATTTTATTACTCCTCGATCGGTAATAAGTTTAGTTAGACTGCCTACGATTTTCTAAATGTATTTAGCCATAGGTTAACATTTACGATTCTTGAAGTATTAATAAGCCTCCTTAGGGTGATCACTTACGATATTATTGGAAAGCGTCAAAGTAAGCTGTAACGAGTGTACGCCATGTACAGCGTCTAATAACTATCTCAAGTATGGCAATAATATGAGTGACATATCAGCGCTTTATTCATTTCCACAACGCTTCAGACCATCGGTATTACATTGGGCTATGTATTGGCGCCGCGCGCGGATCGCTTCATACGTCATTTCTCTTGCAATCAAATAAAATGTGTTCTCTGCTTCGCTGCATTTTTGAATCGATTTATAAATGTTAAGGATACATTTCAGGCTCTAAAGAGATCCAACGTAGTTGTATTATTCAAGTTCGAGGTAAGAGGCTATCGTGTAATTGGTTTCGTCTTCATACGAGAGTGGAATGCTAGTGGCGCTGTGGTGTGGCAGGAGTGGCAGGCAGGCGGGCAGTGCTAGTGTGTGTGGACAGGAGGAACTCTAGGCTCGGCAGGGAATTAAATTAAACCAGCGTTCTGTACGCGTTTTGTAAGGATTTATGTTATGAAGAGGCGCATTAACAGATTAGGTATTCTCACCTTCGTATACCATGTTTAGTAGAATAACGATGTTGGTGATAGATGCCAAATAATCCTAATAAAGAACTGAATTTTATATACATAATTAATTGTTCTGAGGGTATTTAGACGTTAGAATTTTATTTAATTTAGGCTGTTCTAAAACCTGATTAATGGAACGCTATTCTTAACTATTTATATAATTGTAACGATGACATTTATACACCACTCGCGAAGTTTAGTTTCTCGTAATCATTTTAATATTTATCATGCTCAAGAACTTGTTATTTTTATTTGATTGTATCAATTTATACATCCAAACTGATATTTTATTTGTGCCAAGACTTTTAGTTTAAGTTGAAAGTGGCCACATGTAATCTAAATTGTATCGACACAAACTAAGAACGTATTTAATCATTTACTTTAAAGCTAAGATATAATTGGCCTAAGTAAATAAGTATTTTTGAATGTGTAAGTTTTGTATCCTAACTTATTAGACTAACTTAGTATATACTAGATATTTTCAATTTTATTACTGAATGTCAGACGTAAATATTCTCATTCGTTGAAAACTGCACATTTTTATAGAAAATGTCACAGTTGTGTGCAATATTTATTGTTTTCAGACCCGGTGCTTGTATTTGTATGCTACGAAAGATTATATTGTGAACTTACATCCTCAGAACATTTAAACAAACTGTCGATGTAAGCTTGAAACATTTATTTAATTTGATAATGAATTACTAATACCAGAAACAGTACAACAATGTTTTGTTGTCATGTATATTGAACTTTCCACAATTTTAACTTGTAAATAGTTCCAGTTTAGTATTGGTTTTAATGGTAATAAGTGATATTAAGAATGTTGGTATTATGGTATTGCAGTGTACTTCATACTCAACGGTCCACTGACTCGATCATTCCAATTGGATCAAGGCAATATTACCGAAATCGACATAAAAACAAAGTTAGGCGTTACAAAGATGATATTGTTTATATCACGACAAAATATTTAATACAACTACTCGATATATCGCACAAATATACATTCGTAAACGTATTTGTAAGGTGCCTGAAATATTTGCATTTGTACGTCACAAAATATTGTATGGTCTGTGACGAGTGACCGCCTCCTGATTGTGCGAGACTGAACTCGTTCTTTTGTTGTCATTTTGTTTGTCGTAATCATTTTCTAATGTAGAACTCGTACCCCCGTCAAAATCTAGTGTCACTCGTTAACAGACTATTATCTCACTGCACTGTGGATAGAGCACGATTATCTAGGATCAATAAATTGAATTAAATTTTGGATAAAAATTGTATAAACACAGTGTTCACTGTCAAAGCTTCGGAAATGTGTCCGCCAAGTATTAATATTAACATGTCGTACGATCTTATTTCACGTAATTAATTAGTTCCAACATTATTATTGTTTACTCTCGTGTATTATTTCTATAATTTATTTCTTTGTAATACTTTAAGTTTTAGCTGTATGATATGCTTTAGGCTTTGTGCTTTATTGAAATGGCTACGTCCGCTACTCGTTTCCCATTATGTATGTACATGTTACAGCAATATTATCAATGTATTCAATAATTTTAATTTTATTAGTTAGCCAATTTTAAGTATTTTCGTAAAAATTTCGCCATCACAATTATGAAGAGATCAATAGAACGAATAGGATTAAGCTATGTGAATGATGTATGTTAGATATAAATATTTAACTAGAATTTATTTACTAACTGTTGCTGTGTTACATGACATTTATACTTCGGTTTACGGTATTGTACAACTGTACCAAGGTGTAAGTGTTGCGGCGATTTAGGGTGAAGTCATAAATTTCAAGTGCGACTGATGATAGTTGATACTGTTTGACATGTGAGCTAAGGTCTTATTACCTCCGAGTATCAATTAAATCTATTTTAGTTTACTCTCGTACCAGTATTGTTACACTGCCATAACTATAATACACCGTCAAGTTATCCCGATCGAACGTTTGGTAACGAAACTTATAGAAAAGATCTTCTATGACAGTGTAACCGCAATACTGGCTTTAAGTACGGTTATTGTAATGATTACTATATTTCACTTATTTGTAAAGATTTTTTTTAACACAACAATAAATATAAATGTGAAATACTTTTTGTTTTATTTCGTTTCAGCATAATGAAACAAAAGGTGAGTTCATCACTCCAGTATATTGTTTAACTTGTTGCATACATTTTTAATTCTATTCAAGTACTCATTAGTGAAAATGTTTTCTTTTATCTTACAAAGTGAAGATGCGTCTGTTTCCAGCCTGCAAATAATTTGTTCCACTTCATTGGTGTTTAGTTTTGCTTTTTTGCACGCGGGCTCTGTGTCGCTTTCGGCGTCAAACAGCGAGTCCATATCAACAAGATCGAAATTATTACTTAACGACTTCTGCATTGTCACGGAACCTGGATCCCTCAAGTTGCCATCTTCGATGCATTTGTGTGAATATTTATAATCAATTGCTGATAGTAAATGTTCCTTTATATGGACATCTTCATTCTTGAGTCTTCCACGTCTTATAAAGCAGCTCCAAGTTTCTTTCAGTGAGCTATCTTCTTTAACTATCTTAGAAACTATTTGATCCAATCTTACACTTCTATGTACCCTCATCATATTGAATAATTTATTCTTCACAGTGACGTCATTCTCTTGCAATAAATCATTTAACGCTCGTGTAGTATAGAATCTGCGACACTTTTATTCATATCATATGCTTCAAAATTCGCTATTTGCATAAAATATTAATCAATAGCAGTTTCAATTCTTTACACCCTGATTGGACAATGCTAGAGATTATGTGCAGAACCTAAAATCGTAAAATGAATTAGTCGAAGTGTTTGTTTTGAAAAATGTGTGAATTAGTTACAAAGGGCCGTCACTAATCTGTTTTGCTGATACAAATCCAGTACAAGGTTTGTCCGAACAAAAATGTAAGACCTTCATCACGTACTTATCTAATTGCTAAATACTTTAAGCTATTCTACTTCGAGATTTGAGACAAGAACGTAAACAAACGGATGTATGAAATAAGTATTGAAAAAAGGTATACAAGTATATTTTCCCACCGACTAACAAACGTGTTCAGACGAGATTTAGTGGACTTTAGTCCAATGTACCATGCCAAAACAGTGTATGCTTAAAAAAGATGACTTTTACAAAGAAGAACGGTTACAAGTGACACCGTCCTTCACGCGACGTGTTCAAGTGTCGAACCCACAATAGAATATTACCATTTTTTTTAATTCTACAACTTAAAACTTATTATTGTTGTAATATGACTATTTTAAGTATTTTAACGTGGCTAAATTAGTTTACAAACTCACCTTTATTAAGTTGTAGCTACTGCTATGAAAAATATGTTCCATAGAATAAGTGAGTGCAATCAGCGCTTCTATGTATTTATAGTACCATTTTGTTCCATTTTCTAAACGTTTGACTATATCTGTGATGTTCTTAGGACATGCTTTAGCCCATAAGTGTAGTAAAATACTTTCCATGTCGGTTTCTCTGTTATAATTGTACATGTACTTGCTAGATGCATCAGTTTTATCTGAAAAGAAAAATATAATGTGTTATTTCTGGTCAGTAGGTAAAAGTAGGCATACTGATTGTACCTACCTAATATAAGACGTAACAGGTAAGAAGATATGACATTGAGAATTTTGAAAACAGGAAAATTACAGAAATTATTTTCGCGAAATCACTAGACCATCGCGGCTAAAACACATTCTAGATTTTAATTTAATCTAAAATGTAATTGAAGATAAAGATTTGAATTTAATTAGACGCTAGTTCTCAGTGGAAATCCCCATTATTATCAATTGTTATGTCAACATTAAATCTCCAAATTATTATTTTGTTGTATAAATGTAATAATGATAAAGTGGCTATTGTTCTAAGCTATAAAACTAAAAGGATAGCATCACGTGTTAAATGGAAATGTCATAATTACTATTAGGTAATCTTTTTCTATTAGTACGTCTCATGTATGTATGGAATTGATTTAAGGGTCAAATAGGGTAAAAAGAATTATCGAAATCGGTTCATAAATAACGGAGATATCGGCGAACAAACAAAAAAAGCATATCCTATTCCATATAGAACTTCCTCCTTTTTTTGAAGTAGGTTAAAAAGAAATTGTATATTATCTACGTGATGTTTATATCGTATTCGTCCCGCCGCAAAACAACTTGCCATAAGGAGTACTTTCGATACATAAAGTAAAAACAAAAAAATAATAATGTAGTTTTTTTTTCAATAAAATAAATACGCTCATGATACTCTAAATGTAACTTTGTAGCCACCATTCACATCGCACGTGCCACCTACCGGGAAATACCTCTTCGAAAATTACATGCCGTGATGTTTTAATAATGTACTATGACTTCGTATGCGCATCCGAAGCTTATTGCAATGGTTCACCAATTATTTTTTGTTTTAAACATTTTGTGTCTTTGTGAAACTATTGTATAACCGAAACAGACCCATTTTACTTTGGAACGCAAGCGATCAGTAACACAACATAACATCATACATTTTATCCCCGAAGGGATAGGCAGAGGTGCACATAGAAGTAACACCTACTTTCCACTAATTTCACGGTATATAAATACGTTTGCAACCAAGCGTGACGGCGGAGTAGAATACATTAATCACACATCCACTCTTCCAGGGCATCGACGAGCCGAATAAGGGACTACTCAATACTCATACTGATTGAAAAAGAGTTTCTTGCCCGTTCTCCTCCATAAGAATCTACACTTTGGAACGAGCAAATAGCTACACTAGAGGATTGACCGACAGACTGATATTTTTTAAATATTTTGTTTTGACTTTCAAAAGTGCCTTATTGGTCTAACTTAATGTCAAATATCGAAATGATTTCGATATTTGACCAGCTCCGACCGAATTAGCTCCGACCAGAACCAAGCTCGTGCGCACGCCTCAAACAGCCATCAGACCACCAGTTGGGGCCCGATACGGAGCCGCGGAAGGTCTAACGGGTTGTCGGGGCTCCGCGTCGAAGAGCAGGAGTGGGAACGGTGTGGTTTTTAGTCAGTAAGAGTTGGCGGGAGAAGTCATTGGATCATTATACTCCTTAAAATGTGGTTATTGCTTTGTAAGTAAGACACTCACACACGCGCGCGCGCACACACAGACACATCTACACACACACTCACTTATGTATAGTAGTTATATCTATTTTAATGTATATATTATTTATTTGGTATGTAGGTATAGATAGTATTATATTGTATGTATTGTTTTAATTATTGTACACTAGACGACCCCCTTTTTCCAACTCCTGAATACTGGCTCCATCCAAAGGTTGTCTGGAAGAAATCGCATTCTGCGATAAGAGCGCCCATTGTACACATTCTTTTATGTTTATTTTCTATGTATGTTTTTATGGTGTACAATAAAGTGTAAATAAATAAGTGAAAAAATGTCTGTTTAAAATGTTTACTGATGATTAATACAGCCCTAAAGTCGTTTCGATCGAGTACGTTGACGTTGGCGCCTGTACTTTTATCTTGCAAACAACCTACCTACCATTACAGTAATTACAGTACCATTACATTATCCAAGATAATTAAAATAAAGCATAAAATATCGCAGTTTACAACGTGAAGTATGATAGATAAGAGAATTGTACATGTCGCCTATAAGGGCTCTATTTCATTAGAACGCTACGGTCATCATAACTATCACGCCACTGTAGTTAGACACTACAACTAACATGCGAAGGACACTGGATAGCTGATATTATATATATATTCTGTAAACAACTTTCATAAAATAAACTACGTTTAAAAACCGACTTCGCAAACAAAACCGAATTGAACAAACTAATTAGTTACTATTATTCAGAAATAAATTCGTTGCTCAAAATTCAATTTTGTCAAGTTTATTGTAATTTGTAATTGTCAATTAGGTCAAGTGTCTTTCAACCATACATTTGTGATACCTGTTGCCTACCCTACTTCAAATATATATTTTATGGAATAAGCCGATAGATGAGCAGACGGATAACCTGGTGGTAAACATACGGCGCCAGCTATGGACTCTCGAAACACCAGAAGAAGTGTTACAAGTGCTTTACCGGCCTTGAGTTGAGGAATTTGAGGATTATTGAGGAATGGGAAGATTGAGGAGGGGGGTAATTGGGCCTCCGGTAACCTCACGAACGCGACGAAATACAACGCCAGTGTTGTTTCACGTTGGTGAGGCCGTGGTATCATTCCGGTCGACCCCTGTCACATTCGTGCATTATACAGACATGCTTACTATCAGATTTTCTTTTGCCGCCCTATGCTATAAAAAAATCTGTATGCATATGTATACATATGTATGACAAGCGTGAAGATAAAGATGATAAAGAATCTAACTTACCAATTCATAAATATTGATACAATATTCATCAGTAGTAAGTCTTTGCATTTCCATCTGTAAATTCTCCATCACGAACATTTCACTATCTAGTTGCGTATCATTAGATAGATTGCTCAGTCTTAGATAAGCCCACAGACATATATTCCTTTCTTCCTTTATAGAAAACATTTGATACACTTTTATTTTATCCTCATTGTGCATTATTTCAAATAATCGACCCAATGTATGTGTTATGTGGACTTTTTGTGGTGAATCGACGAATTGACGATTATTTTCTAATTTTTGATATATTTTGCATAAAGTTATTACTTGTGTGTGTAGATATTGTCTGCTTGTCATTCTGAAACAATAGATAAGGAACACATTTACAGAATGAGAATATATCTTTATTTGAAGCATACCTATTGATTACATGAATAGAAAATGTCCAGTGCCATAATGTGCACCTCTGCCTACCCCTTCGAGGATAAAAGGTGTGATGTTATATGTTCTAGATATAACACATAACATAATAACATAACATAACATCACGCCTTTAAGTGAAAGGGGGGTGTACAATGTAACACCCACTTTTCACTATTTATGTTATGAGTCCTATGTAATAGAGGGTGAGCCTATTGCCATAAACCGGGCGCAGTTCTAGACTCCGTGCTAATATTGAAATTTAAAAAAAAAACCCGAGCAATGTATTATTATTGCTCGACCTAGGAATCGAACCCGAGACCCCTTGCCCGGCAGTCGCACTTGCGACCACTCGGCCAACGAGGCAGTTGTTGAACATGCCAGGCAATATACATATCTTGAACTAAATTACAATTGAAATAGGTAACATAATAAATAATCTGTATGCATGTTTCGTTAATGTTAAACCATTCAGTAATGTTTCACCAATATTGTCGGGACGCTCATTTTCGATCACGACGCCCTCTACGTTGCTCAAAAACGAGAGAAACACTTACCTGGCTAATAACACCCATAGATTAGCAGAAAACATAGCACTATAGCATTCAGTGCTAAGCAGAGATTCAAGCATTTTCTTTTCCAATATATTAATTTCTTCATTGTTCATTGTAACACATAATGCTACCATATGCACCAGTAAGTGCTCATATAAGCCGTATGTTTGGTATTGACGACTGGCCTTCTCGCATTTGAACTTAAGGCCCATATTGAACCAGACATGACCTGAAATTATGAATTGTTTAGCACTCAAATACTGTTATCTATACTATTATTATAAAAAGGAAAAATTTGTACCTATTTTTGTATGTTTGTAATGAATAGACTCAAAAAGCACTGGGCCGATTTAAAAAATTCTTTCACCAATAGAATGCTACTTTCTTCCAATTTGACATAGGCTACATTTCATTTTGAAAAAATTAGGGATCCTTGGTAAAACTTGAACAATGTAACCGAAGGTGTAGAAAAATGAGTCTTAAAATGTCTTTCATCGAATGCGCTGCCGAAACTATTAGCGATAGAACAAAATAATGTACAACAATATTGAAGAACATTATAATGTCTACAAAAAACTCCGCGGTACCATATGTCCAACAATTGTAGTTATGTCACTAGAACAATCCAAATTTCCAAAAATAAATAATTGTCTACCCCGTGCGAAGCCGGGACGGGCTGCTAGTTATCAATATTGATAAATGGCCGAAATTAATAACTGACGGCAATCTAAAATCTTTGGATTAAGATCGAATTTTTACAAAAGTCATTCGGAAATTCGGTCAAAAACCTAGATTAACCCGATTAACTGAGATTAAAAGATGAGTTATTTACTTCGAACATTTTAATACAATAATCATCATTATCAACAGCCTATTTATAATAAGTAGCTATTAATCATCACGGCAAAAATGTAATTATCACCACGCTTGCTTAATGCGGGTTGGCGATTTCAAACCTATAATTAGAATAACTATCTATCTATTGAGGAAAAAACGATAAAAACCAATAAGATTTAAGCATAAGTAAAATGCAATCGTGCGGTTTGGGAAATGTTTTTGGGTTCATAAGGAAATGTTTTCCTTAAAACCATGGAATTTGTCACGAATATAATAAAATTTAAAATAAACGACCACGCACGATTTCATTTAAAATGTGCAAGGACAAACGAAAAATAAAGCAATAAAATATCCGCCCATATTGCTAAATAACGAAAATTAAACCTTGTAGCATTGTAATAGAAGTTTAATTTAAACTGCCTTATTAGTAACATAACCGGCAAAATGTGATATTAACCCGTCGAGCGTCCGCGTTCCTTATGATCCAACGGTGCACACGTGACGTGTAGAGCATTTTTTCTTATGATCCACCGGGTGCTCATAAGGACGCTTGAAGGGGTTAATAGATTTTTTTGAATTGAATTTGAATTGAAAATATTGAACCCACATTAAATTCAATACTTATTTTATACTAAAAGAGCAAATAGAGGTACCTACATTTGCTCTTTTAAAATAATTATTTAAGTACTTACAATAAGGTAAAAATTTGTAGACAAGATTGACCAGTTTATGTTTAGGGACTTGCAGAGTCTGGTCGCCACTTCTTTGTGCCACTATTTTCATAACTGACAGCGTTACAAGTATCAGACCAAGCAACTTATCATCGCTTCTTATTTCATTGACGTTGTAGTTATAGATTGCCTGAAAATAGAATTTACATTAATTGGAAGTAAACTAAGAAAGAAAGAAAGAAAGAAAGAAAGAAAGAAAGAAAGAAAGAAAGAAAGAAAGAATAAACATTTATTCAGCACCAGGCACGACTGACTGCTTCATTGGCCGAGTGGTCAGGCAATGTATAACTGGGCTTTTTCAAAAAATCTCAGTAGTAGCACGGAGTCTGGAATTGTGCCCGGTATATGGCAATAGGCTCACTCCCATATTACATGGGACTCATAGTCATAACATAAATAGTGAAAAGTGGGGGTTACATTGTACAGTGGCAATAAGTGCCGTAATGCACACCTCTGCCTACCCCTTCGGGGATAAAAGGCGTGATGTTATATGTAAACTGCCGCTTTGGTTGAGAATATATCGAAATTAGACTCTCGAGGTTTGGGGCATTAAGTTCAATTTAAAGTTGACTAAACGACTATTCAGAGGTCATACGTTTAAAGTAATCGAAACGAGACTTAGAAATACTTTTCTAGCAATAAATTCAATAAAAATAGACAGACATGTTTTTTATGGCATAAGGCGGTAAACGAGCAGACAGATCACCTGATGGTAAGTAATCTGCGTCGCCCCCATGGGCGACTGGGCCAGTAACGCATCTGGTGTTCCAGGTGTCCATACACCTGGAACACCAGATGCGTTACTGGTCTTTTGGGGATTAGGAGTTTGAGGATTATTTGGGGAGATTGGGGAAGTGGGGGGGGGGGTAATTGGGTCTCTGGTAACTTCACTCATACGACGCAAGCGTTGTTTCACGTCGGTTTTCTGTGAGGCCGTGGTATCATTCCGGTCGAGCCGGCCCATTCGTACCGATGCATGGCTCTCCCACACTCCACTTGTTATGTACTATTAAGCGTTGAAGGTCATTATAAACGGAACTTAGAAACATGTTAAACAGACATTGTCGAGTGTTAAATGACAATACAATAACTGTTTATAAATGTGTGAATTCACTTTACAAGTAATAATTCATAGGAAGATAGTTTTTCTATTCTTATACTCGTGTTGTTGTTTTTATTCCAGGTAGGTAAAAACAGTTGTAACCTCGTTACAGGTATTATGTCGGAATACTGAAACGCTACTCAATTTTAAGTCGTGCTTAAGTATAGTTCTATCTCTACAAATTCTTTGAAAAATGATAGAGATGGCACGATATTTGAGTAACGTTTCAGTATTCCGGCATTAGACGCATAAATTGATTCTTTAATTAAAAATCTTTAATTAAGCGATCGCAAGTCGCGGAATGCTGCTCCTGAATATGAGCCTCTAGCATGGCTTGAAACTAGTCGAGTTCCTCGTCAAACGGTTACGTGAGCAAGCCGAAAATATTATTTAGTATGTCTCACGAAAGTTTTAATATAAATGTAATTGGGTACTTTTTGTAATCAAAATTAAATTATTTCGATTATTCAATACAATAAAATATTTAAAAATAATCACACTTTCATTAATTAATGTTATGGCCAGCTTAATTTTAGTATTTTTCCGGCAATTTTTTAAGAAATAAGTATGCTTTCTGACGCTAAAAAAAAACATGACATCACAATACACAATTTTGTACAAAAAAACTGATTAGAAAACTGTCGTTTTTGACAGTTCGAAAAAAAGTATTGAAGTTGACGAGTCGGCAAGTACACAATAGGAGATATTTTGGGTTTTCAAAATTTTCTCCGTAGGTAGGTAGGTTCTCCTAAACATTATGGGCAGGAAATAGGTAATATTATGGCATTACGCAGACTTACCTACATGGGGGGACTCTCAACAGAACGGTTAAATAAAAAAATACGTGTTACTTGAGGTTTAACTCGTCGAGTACCGTATTTATAGACACAATTAAAGAACAATAGGTTGCGGTCACCGGTGACCGCTTGGTGTTTGACAGTTTAAGACGCTCGCTTCTCAGCCGTGTGGATTCGAAACCAACGGCAATTACCATTGTGACATTTCCCAAGTTATATGTACTTTCTAAGATTATTTACACACCACTGACAAACGGTGAAGGAAAACATCGTGAGGAAACCTGTGCCCTTAGCCAAACGCCACTTCAGCGCTTGTCTACAGAGAGAGTAGAAATCAAAATGTATGGGGATGACACTGACAAGTGTCAAAATTTATGTCAATTCCATATAATTCGGTTTTCTATTCTACATGTAGACAAGCGCTAAGTGGCATTTGGCTAGAGCCGCTGGGCTTATAATTTCGAATTATAAGTTTTAAATCGGGGACCCGCATTGAGCAAGCGTGGTGATTAATGCTCGAACCTTCTCCGTGTGAGAAGAGGCTTTGCTCAGCAGTGGGCATTTATAGGCTGTGATTGATGTGTTACTGGTATAGGTAAATACGTTCACTTCGCGAATCAAGAGGCGTGATATTTTGATACGTTATATACTAACTACGCGCTACGCGACATAATTTATTATGCAGTATAAACTCAGGGAGCAGTAGGTGTGTCGGAGTTTTATTTTTCAGGGAGGAAAATCATCGAATGACTTCTCCCGCCTGGGTGAAGTGGGAGGGACGTTACTTAATTTAACGCGACAGAACTAAGTTAAATACACACTTGCAATAATTTATCATCCACTAGCGACCCGCCCCGGCTACGCACGGGTGCAATTAGTTTCTCTACTATATTATGCAATTATTATACACACAAACCTTCCTTAAGAATCACTCTATCTATTAAAAAAACCGCATCAAAATCCGTGGCGCAGTTTTAAAGATCTAAGGATACATAGGGACAGACAGACAGCGGATAGCGACTTTGTTTTATACTATGCAGTGATTATCAACTCAGTGAGCAGAAAATGTGCTAGAGTATTTTTTTTAGGGGGAAGTCATTTTTTTATGGCATAATCCGGCAAACTAGCAGACGGATCATCTGATGGTAAACAATCAGCGTCGCCCATGGACACCTGGAACACCAGAGGCGTTACCGGCCTTTTGGGGATTAGGAGTTTGAGGATCGTTGGGGATTCAGGGATTCACACAGTCATCGAATGACTTCTCCCGCCTGGGTGAAGTGGGAGGGACGTTACTTAATTTAACGCGACACAACTAAGTTAAATACATACCTGCAATAATTTATCATCCATTATCAACTCAGTGAGCAGTAGGTGTGCCGGAGCAGTCACGTTATTGTTGACGAGAGTTACAAACTGCACAGATTTCCCACGCATTGTTTGCAGATAAGCATCATTGTTCCTGAAAAAAAAGAAAATGATCACTTTGTTTACGCTTTTGTGATCTGATGAGTCAGGATCGGTAAACTGTTTGTAGAGAATACTCATAAATACAACATCACGCGTTTTATCCCAGAAGAGGGAGGTAGGAACATTACTGCACGGTTGGTGCGGTGGCTGGGCAACCACGCTGCCGTGCAACGTGTCGCGGGTTCGATTCCCGCACGGAATTGTTTCGGGTCTGGGTGTCATGTGTATGTGAACTTGTATGTTGGTAAACGCACCCACGACACAGGAGAAAATCATACTGTGGGGCAACGTTTTTTTTTTTAAAAAAATTACGGCACTTATGCCACTATACAAAGTAGCACCCACTTTTCACTATATTATTATATGTTATAAGTCCCATGTAATAGAGGGTGAGCCTATTGCCATATACCAGGCACAATTCCAGACTACGTGCTACTACTGACATTTTTGTTTAAAAACCATGGGACTCATAACGTAAATAGTGAAAATTGGGTGTTACATTGGCACAGTGGCATTAAGTGGCGTAATGTGGACCTCTGCCTACCCCTTCGGAGATAAAAAGGCCTGATGTTATATGTTTAAGAAGCATTTAAAGTACTATTCGAGTTCTTTCACTTTTTCGGTACCCAATAGCATGGTGTCTGGGATTCTGTCCAATATATGGCAACAGGATCACCCCCTATTAGGTACAAGAGACTCACAATTTGTATAAATGGTGGAAAATGGATGTCACTTTGTAAGTGCACTTCTGCTTGCTCCTGTAGAGATTAAAAGGCGGGGTGTTTTTCGGAAATGCTATCGATACATATTTAGGAGACAGGTAGGTGTGGGAGAGCCATGCTTCGGCACGAATGGGCCGGCTCGACCGGAGTGATACCACGGCCTCACAGAAAACCGACGTGAAGCAACGCTTGCGTTGTGTTTCGTAGTGTGAGTGAGGTTACCGGAGGCCCAATTACCCTCCCCTACCCTAATCTCCCCAATCCCTGAATCCCCAACTATCCTCAAACTCCTAACCGCCAAAAGGCCGGTAACGCACTTGTAACGCCTCTGGTGTTCCAGGTGTCCATGGGCGACGCCGATTGCTTACCATCAGGTGATCCGTCTACTCGTTCACCGGCTTATGCCATAAAAAAAGTAAAAAAAGGGTAAAGACTTATGTACACATAGAAATAAATAAAGAGTAACTTACACATGAATATACAGTAAAAGATCAACAATAGGAGTATAATCCTTCATGACTGCGTGCCTGAAAGTATTGCACACTCTTAACAATATCTTCAACACGAAACTGCTCACTTTCAGGGACCTTATCACTACTTTCTCTTCTTGAATTTCCTGAAATTAAAAGGATTGTAGTATTATTATTTTTCTTGGACTTTTTTACGAACGAGCATCAGGTGATCCCTGATGGTAGGCAATCGGTGTCCCCCACGGACACTTGGAACACCAGAGGCGTTACAAGTTCGTAACCGGCCTTTTGGGATTAGGAAATTAAGAATTGTTGGGGATTCAGGGATTGGGAAAGGGGTAATTGGGCCTCCGGTAACCTCACTCACACGACTAAACACAACGCTAGCATTGCTTCACGTCGGTTTTCTGTGAGGCCGTGGTATCACAACGGTCGAGTCGGCCCATTGGTGCCGAAGCGTGGCACTCCCACACTTAAATGTGCATGCCTTCGGTATTCTCTACTAGTTGACTATTATAGTGCCCCAGCTTCGCACGGGTGCAACATACATGTATTTGAAAAATTATCAATAGGTAATACGGTATTTGACAACTATTCAAATTCAATACTTTTATCGAAACGTCAAAAACGATATTGTTCTATGAATTTTGTACGAAAAACTAACTTATGACGGCATCATATTTACGAGTCAAACAGCTAAATAATTTCTGAAAAAAATGCTAAAATAAATCGAAAATTAAGTATATCGTCAAATCAAATAATGAAAGTGAAATTATTTTTGAATATTTAATTGTAATAAAAAAAATTAATAATTTATTTTTTCACCCAGGAAACTAACCAATTGGAAGACTAAAATGTACTATATTAACAAACCTACCTCCAATGCTATTTTCATGTTATTAGCAACCATGGCAGTTAGAACCTTACTACAGTTACTATAGATCTTCTTATCCATTAGACAGTTGGAATATTTATCACATATCACTGTGTATGCCTTCCATTGTTCTGCCATAGTCTTCACATCAAGACTCTCTACTATTTCACCTATTTTTAAATTGATGTCTAGTGCTGGAATTGAAAAAAATACGATTAATAGAGAGAGATAGACAGTGGTCTAGATTTCAGTCTTTAACCCTTTGCGTATCGTCATTATAGACACAATTAAAGAACAATAGGTGTGTGGACACCGGCATCCTCGCGGTGTTTGACAGTTTAAGGACCGATTATTCAATGCTCAGTTAAATTTTATCAGAGAAATATATATATGAATATTCGACAATTCTTCCATACTTATAACTGTCAAGTGTCAATTTTATTCTACAGTCAAGAATTAACTGATGATTAAAAGATCAGCCCTAATGCTGGAATACTGAAACGTTACTCAATTTTAAGTCGTGCTTAAATATCATGCTGTCTCTGTCATTTTACAAAGAATTTGTGGAGACAGAATTATGCTTAAGCGCGACTTAAAATTGAGTAACGTTTCAGTATTCGGGCATAAGTCTTTAAAAGCCTATAAGGAAGGTGGGGGAAAATCCAAACTTTTTCTTGACCCAGTAATCAAACTAGAAACTTTGACAGATATGTGAGTACAACAAAAATGAGAGAAAGTGAAAAGCTAACTGATTTACGAATGTATTGTTTCATATTGATACTTTAGTCATTATTTGTCTCCAATTATGAAATTTGAGTCGTCGTCATTGGGTTCATTTTAGATTGAAACCATATTTTATGTGTTTATAATACATGACATCTTATCTTACCTTCAATAAGGATATCCTTTTCTTCTTTCTCAGTTAAATCAAATATGAAATGTTTTTCAAAGACCATCAAATATGTCAGTTGTAGTTCATGGCAAGTTCTGAACAAATCCTTCAGTTGTTTCTCTACACAATTTAATTGACTGCCATAGATGGATTCACTGAAAACATATAGAGTTTGCCATAATTTAGATTACAGCAGAAAATCTAAATTAAATTGAGATTGTACAAAGAAGTACATGAAAGGATGTTCTCTTCAAACTGAACTACTTAGAAAAAAATATGGTAATTTTACAGATTTTACTTCATAAATAAACATGTCTTATACCTGCTTCAGCATGTCTACTCCAGGCTTAGGTACTTACAACGATACACCAATTTATTGTTGTCATACTATTTAAAAGTGCTGAAGCGGGTCACCAAAAGATCAGTAAATAAATATTTACCAAACTACTTTTAAGAATCTATACTTGCTTATTAGACCTTAATACATTGATATATCATACCCAAAATTCGTTCATACAAAAGTAGTCTCGAAGTACCAAATAAATAAGAAATAAGGCATATAATGGATTTAGTGAAGAGCGGTTGGCGGTGACAGCTTGGCAATTAAACAGTTCAGATATAAATATTTACCGCTCACACTTACCACGAGGCGAGATAGTAGCTAAAGGTAGATCCAAAAAATATGAAAAAAATCTATTACTATGCTTGTCAATGGTATAACACCTGAACTACCTACCTTCCATTCGGCAACCAGACCTTAAATTAAAAAAAAATCTCTTACCTATCCTTACAATGAGAGAACACCAACATGATGATGCGACCGGTAGCAGTTGGAAAACTTTTCATAGCACAGCAAGACATGGACATAGTCTCAATGACCTGCTTTATTAGATCTGAGAGCAGTTGTAATAGGCAGATAGCATCATTCATGTACTCCTTTAACTTGTTCTGTTTTATATTTGTGTTGGCTAAAATTTGTGTGATCAGGTCCAAACTCTGCGAAAGAGGTAGAATAACATGTTTAAATGGTTTCATATTTCCTGTTTACGATTTATGTGTGCAGGTAATGTAGCTCTAAAACTGGAACATCCAGAAAGTTACACCGAACAAAATTCAAGTACTGAAGACATCTATAAAGTGAATCTCTATCTTTTATAAACTAGGCTTGTAAAAATGGTAATACAGTTATTTACAAACCTGTGAAACACAAATACCGCAGTCATCAATAAGTTTCGAAAAGTAAACAGAAAAGGTTGATTTCTTTATTTCAATTCTATTATTTGAAAATGATGCCTTCGTTTTCAAAACCAAAGATTCATAACTTGCCGTGTCCACCTGATATATGAGTTAAGTAAATAAACTTGTACATCAAATATGTTTTAATAGAATATTGTTTACAAAACTTTTAAAAGGATACAATCACAGAATCTTCAGGGCTATTACAAAATATGTCGGTGCTTTCAGATAAAAAGTCAGAGCTTTGGGAATTGTCCATGTTTAATCATATGATTTCAGTCAATCAATTAAAACCAATAAATAGATTTACGAGTTTGCGTTTGTAATTTTGCAAAAATTAATCCCGCTCAAAATATTACTGACATTTGCTACTTGTCGTTGACGTTTCTCATTCTCAAGCTGTCAGTCAGCTGTTATGATCACAGACAACAATAATATCTATGGTATACCTGCAAGATTGCTGGTAGCTGAAAAGGACTTTGAAGAAAGGTGTTGGTGAGTGCATGGTGAGTGCCCACAACTAGTGCCCACAACTAGTGCCCACGCACCTTAAACCTTCGCTGAAGATGAAATAATAAAGAACCAGTGGATCAAAGTTGAAAAGCCTTGCTAATTATTTTTTATCAAATCTAGGCAGGACCCCGCCGTTCTAGACATTGTGTTCGTAAGTTTTTTATGGAATAAATAGTAGATAGGGAGGCAAATGAGACGAATCACTTCACTAATTGATGCCTGAGGCATTGCCTAACAAAGTAACAATAGGCAATCGGTGTCACCCGTAGACACCAGCAACACCAAAGAAGTTGCCTATAAGTACGGCCGGGCTTTTTAAAAAGTGGAATATAGGAATGAGTGAGGTTTGTGGCTCTGACAAACCTCACTCATACACATAAGGTGATAATATACAACACAGATGGTTTATGCTGGCTGCGAGTGTGGCATGGGATCATATCATGGGATCATGGGTAAACAATAGCAAACAACAAACACGAAAATGTAGATAGTTGATTGTATGTGTTTGTTTATTCGGCAGTGTTGAGCATCGGTGTCGATTAGTTTTTCGGCAAACAGTTTTCCTTATATCCATACGCTTGCTACACATCGATGTCTAGGACTTTGTTTGTGATATTTAGTATTTGTGGTAAACTTCAAGCATGTGGGCAGGTCATAGTAAGTTCATAGCTTCAAACCTTACCATCAGGTGGGACGTGTACTTTTCTTGCCACAGTTGTGGTATAAAATATAAATAACCATCTTCAAACAAACAAATAAACTCTTAGCTTAAGCGCTAATTTCCTAAATAATTATTTGTATTTCGGATAGTCCATTAATAGAGGAAGGAAGGTTATTAAACATTACGCTTTATGTTACGTTACGCTGCAATCAATAACAGTAGAACCACGATGGAGGAATTCTATTTTTTTGTTTTACAAAAAAGATGTCTGAAAATTTTACAAAAGTACCAAACCATGCAGGTTGGCTAAAACCAAATCACTTTAATTAAGTCCATAAATAATAATTTATTTGGTACTGTGAATCGCAACAGGACTTAGATGACTGAATGAAGAAAGTCTAACTACCTCCTTCTGCTTACCTATATGTGTCTGTTATATGGTATAGCATACAGCATAGCAAAATGGCATAAATATCGGCAACAATACCTGATCATTTCCGTATTTTAGAGTACCTATAAATCTATATAAAAAAAAACTTGCTTTTGTATTTAATTATTGTTGATCATTTAATGCTTAAATACCACAGTTCCTAGATAGGCAAGGAGGTACTTTAAAAAGTTACCAAAAAATCAATAAATCAAAATCAATACATATGGCTGTCACTGTCACCGTGACAGCTAAAATGGACATAAAATTCACGTGTTGCTTTGCTTTGTAAATGCAAAACACGCGGCCGGTAATCGTTTTTATTTTTGTTTAGGCAAATATTTGTCTTAAACCTTTTAATTTTTGTTTACCGGAATGCTAAAATGTCGGTGTGCAATATGTTGATGGCACTCAAAGCGGTAGGCGCTGAAACAAAAACCCCTGAATTAACAAAATTGTGCGAGGAACTTCAGGTTAGTACTGAAATAATTGTTTTTACAGTAATTATATTGTTAAACTCTACAACAAATGATAACGAAAATATATACACCTAATTCTATATCTATAAGTCACCTGAAACATGTCTTGATAGTATTAAAAAATATTTTTGTATTATAAAATTATTTTTTTCACCACATTGTGAAAATTTCAAAAAGATATCATATATGTGCACCCTAGACAATTCGAGAGACAAAGGCCCCTTGAGTATGAGGGTGTGGCCACCCTCCATTATATCTTTAGCTATAGACAGACTATACATACTAAATCTTTGTATCAAAATTAATTGCACATTTGCCAATTATTTCTCAATATTATATTAAATGTTTATGCCCTATTATAATATCCACAATCTTGTAAGAATATATTTCTGTACATAAGTACATGAATATAATAAATTGTAAATAAAATAAAAAAGTTTTCTTTTTCAAATTGGACTTTTGCATTTTCATTTCATTTATCATGAGTTTTTAATTTTATTATTGGTCTCGAATAAACTTTTGTCATAATGTGTTTTTTTTTTTATGTAGCACAAAATGTAACTTAACATTCACTATTTATATTATATAAAATTCAAAGTCTTAATAAGTAATAATTAGAATTACATTATAGTACATATTACTCATTTACAAAAACATCAAATTAAATTAGTGCAAAATTCTTTTCATACTGTTAAATAAATATCCTCTTCTTAATGTATTTTATGATGTCTATCTATTTAAAGGTGATGACATAATAAAATAGCCTTGATATCATGTAGGTGTAAATTCTTTGTTTGTATAATGTGTTTACAATCTGTGATGCACTTCTTGTCACATTTTTTGTTAAACTTGTACAGTATCACTGAATATTGAATAAATAATTTGGTTTCCTCATTAGAGGGTTGTAAAAAAAGCTACCATATTTAATACAAAAGTACACACTACTCACATCATACATCACTTTCAGACCTGCAAATCAGAAACCTTTTATTTCAGAATTGAAAATGTAAAAATAATTTTTATCTTCCAGGAATCAATAAATTCCAACACTTTTGATATTAAAAATGCTGTCACACAGCTATCAGAATACATTCTCAAAATCGATGATGCAAAACTATTCAAGAAATACTTATCTAGTATACTTCTTGCGTTGGTGTCTGCGAAGATACCACTAAAACCCGTATTTTCTAACACCAATTACGAAACATGTAGTGACTCGGAAAAGAACTGTCACTTAGAATATTCAATAATACTAGCTGCGTTGAGTGATCATCCTGACATTCTACAGTAAGTAATGAAATTATGTTTTTTTATAAATAACATAACATAACATAACATCACGCCTTTTTATCCCCGAAGGGGTAGGCAGAGGTGCACATTATACTACTGTACAATGTAACACCCACTTTTCACTATTTATGTTATGAGTCCCATGTAATAGGGGGTGAGCCTATTGCCATATACCGGGCACAATTCCAGACTCCGTGCTACTACTGAGAATATTTAAAAACCCAGTAATACTTTGCCCAACCCGGGAATCGAACCCGAGACCCCTTGTCCGGCAGTCGAACTTACGACCACTCGGCCAACGAGGCAGTCTTTTATAAATATACAACACAATGTCATGCCATTATAATCTTGAAAGGGTAGACCGAGGTTCACATGTACAAAGTTAGTGTGGGAGAGCCATGCTTTGACAAGAATGGGCCGGCTCGACCGGAGTGATACCACGGCCTCACAGAACACCGACGTGAAACAATGCTTGCGTTGTGTTTCGTCATATGAGTGAGGTTACCGGAGGCCTAATAACCACCAACACTAAAATTTAAAAAAAAACCACTATTGCTTTGCCTATTTTCTGAGTCAAATTCACAAGACAGGCAACAATATCAGTCATTAAAGATGTAAAATTCAATGCAGTTGTTATGTAATGTTATTAACCCCGATATGGCTTGGGGCGAGCCTATTGATGATTAAATATTTAAACTATGAGCAGTAGAGAATTGTAAAATCAATATCTATACTTGGCTTTGTTCACCCCTGGTTGCTACTATTACTATACTATTGAAAATGCATAGAACCTTTTTGTTAAAAGAATTATTACTACACAACAATGGTGTTGAAAAAGGAACAAATTGATTTTTGTACTTTGAGAAAAAAAATGTAGACAGTTGAAAAAAACCTTAACACATGCTTCTATTTTAGATATGCATTAAAATACTTTGAAGTAAATCCTGTAGCACCATTCGAAGTATTTTGCCACCATGAAGACTCTTACAATGTGGCTCCCAAGAAGCGAAGATTACTTGACTGCGGACAAAAAATTGCTGAAAAGCAAGTCATAATATGCTGCTATACATTGCTTAAGAAATTACCAAATGAAATGTCCGTAAAATGGGACTGGACAAAGTTTATTGGGACGTACGGTAACCATGGACGGGCGGATGTGCGATGGTAAGTTATTCTATATAATTTTGATAATAGACTGTTAAGATAAAAATTTTTAGAACTGTTTCATTTTGTAACAAAAATACTCTTTGTATATGATCGGTGGAATTTTACAGATATGGTATTTTCAGTACCTATTTACTGTCCTAAGTTATGTTGTTATACCTAAGATCCAGTAGCGATAAAAGCCTGTTTTCCGTCGAATTTCGACTCTATACTGCCACCAAAAAATTGTCAAGGAAACCTTATTTTTCAACTATCATTTCGTACACCTCATTTAACGATTTAATCTGAGGTAAAGTTTTGCTAACCAATTACTTTTTAACCAGGATGATACGGGAATGCATGGCAATCCTAGCCAACATGACAGACACACAGCAAATGGTATTTTCCGTTAAAATGTTAGTACAAGAATATGAGTGTCATGAAATATTAGAAAAAGGTATAATGGACCCCGTTCATACAATGGATGAAATAGTGAAAGATGATCTAAGCCCCAATGTGGTTAATATCGATGGCATACTGTTACCTATATTTGAAAAGGATAATGTCCAGAAAGGCAATCTGGTTCCGGTGAAATCTACAGTCAATAATCTCAGGAGTTTAGCTTTGGCTGTTGCTTCAGGTAAGGAGAGTTGTAATCTGAATTATTTTTATTTTCTTATAAACGGTGAAGATATTACTTAAAAGATACTCCTCAGGTGATCATATTTGATTTTATAGCTATTTATTATGGATTGGTTAATATTTTTCTTGGTGATCCTTATACGGTTTTGGTTTTCATGAGTATACTTTCGTATAATAATTGTCATGACAAATCCCTTAGCAATAATAAAGAAGATTAGACGATTATTTTTGGACACGAAGAAGTGGAGAAAAAGCGGAATAATAAACTTAGGCTAGAAATTATTATGGCGTTAAATAAATATTACAAAATAAAGCTGACGACCATTTTTCAGCAATGAAGTGACACTAAGAGAAGAATAAGACATTCCTCTGCATAATAATTCAAAAGAAACTTTATTTAAAACGTTAACATCAATATTCTTCTTCATAGGACAAGCCCTAAGTCTTATGGGCCCGGTAGGATCGGGAAAGACTTCCCTCGTAGAACATTTGGCTGCTATCACAGGCCGCAAGGGTGTGGCCTTCAAGAAGGTGCAGCTCGGAGACCAGACGGACTCCCGTATGTTATTAGGATCACACCAATGTACTGACATTCCTGGAGAATTTGTGTGGAGACCTGGCGTTTTGACTGAGGTAGGTGACTTTTTGGCAATGTATTTATTATTTACTGCGCTCGACGTCGTACGCGTAATCCCGTTTTCTCCCGTTCCCGTAGAATTTTCAGGATTTTCTCTGTCTTAGACCCTTCTCCTAATAATAACAAATACAACAAAAAAGAATTAGTGAAATCGGTTCAGCCATTCAAGCCATTCATGCCGTGACCAAGGGAAAAGGGGATTCATTTTTATATATAGAGATACTTCATGTTGTCTTTCTCGTAATTTTACGTCCAGATGCTGGCGTGAACCTGTGTTTATTGTAAATTATTTAATTTTTTTTGCGATTATCTTCTCTCCTTGCCAGTTACGTTATAAAAGTGCTAAAACTAAATACCTATATCATGTCATGTGTTTCATAAGTAGGTCTAATAATATCATTCATTTATTCATGCTCGTAATGAACATTCTATTGTCTCTACAATTTTAAATAAATTGTTTAAACAGATGTGTGCGTGGAATTAGTGTAAATACTTATGTACGGATTTCCATTACCCAATAATTTATTTAGCCTGCATCGAAAACGTGATGCAAAATTACAAAATGCTGGTTACTTTAACTATTTTCATGTTTATTTTAGGCCGTACAAAATGGGCACTGGCTCCTCTTAGAGGACATAGACTGCGCAGCATTAGATGTAGCGTCGACCCTCAGTTCCCTTCTAGAAAGAAACGCACTATGCGTACCTGGCTATCGAGATTCTTTGCCAGTAACACCAGGGTTTCAACTTCGTCACACAACGGTAAGATGGCAAACTAATCCCTACAGTTATAGGTTTAAAGTTTATTCATTATTTTATCACATGTCTTTTGTTTTAGAACTTTGACAACTAATTATGGGTTCCAAAAGAAAATGTCCAACTCTAGTACATTGCTTCAAAAGCATTTGACACAAATAAACGTTGAACCCTTATCACGGTCTGAACTCGCAGAGATAATACAAGCTCTGTACCCGGCGCTTACAACGATATGTTCTAGAATGATCGAAGTATTCATGATGTTCTCAGTAGGCAGTCATGACACATCCCTTCAAACTACTGAAGTAGTGGATAGCGATAAAGAAAAGAATTTAATTCTATTGCGAGGGTCAAGACTGATATCGACAAGAGACTTGCTGAAGTGGTGCTCTAGAGCTGTAGTCGGCTTCGATGTGTCCAGTCCTGAGTCAGCACTCAAAGTCCTGCAGGATGCTTTAGATATTTTCACCTGTTCAGTATCTTCACCTGAACACAGACTAGAATTGTCCAAGAAAATTGGCCTGTGCCTCGGAATAGTGGAAGCAAAATCGGAATTCTACTGCAAACATTACAAGCCAAATGTATCACTTACTGCAAATTTCTTAGAAGTGGGCAGGTCGAAGGTGCCAAGAGTAGAGAAGAGCTTAGAAACAATAGATTTTGATACTAAACAGACTGTGTTTTCGTTTACACGGCAGTCAGCTTGCTTGCTGGAGCGAATCGCTTGTTGCGTGACGTCCAATGAACCTGTCCTGCTTGTTGGTGAGACGGGTACTGGTAAAACTTCTTCAGTACAATACATAGCGAGACAAACAGGGAACAAACTTGTAGTCATAAACATGAACCAACAATCAGACTCGGCAGACTTACTTGGAGGCTACAAACCCGTCGACCTAAAATACGTAATCAGGCCTATAAGGCTCCATTTTGAGGAGCTCTTCCGTAATTACTATAACGTTGACAAAAACAAGAAGTTTTTGGGTCACATCGAAACTTGTTATGAGACAGAAAATTGGACCGCTTTACTAGCGTTGATGAAACAGAGCCAAAAAGCTGCAGTTGGCAGGCTGACGATAGAAAAGTCGGATAAGTTGAATGAATGGGTAGCTCTTGGTGTTAAGCTGCAGAAATTGGAGCAGCAAGTTAAGGCGCATCGAAGTTGACCTTCGCTTTTATCGAAGGGTCCCTTGTCAAAGCAATGCAAGAAGGCCATTGGGTTTTGCTGGACGAAATCAATTTGGCCTCTGCGGAAATTTTGGAATGCCTAGCTGGGTTATTGGAAGACAAAAATGAGACGATAGATTTGTTGGAAAAGGGGGATAAGGTGCCCATAAAGCGGCATCCTAACTTCACTCTGTTCGCTTGTATGAACCCTGCTACTGATGTTGGCAAAAAGGATTTACCTGCCGGTCTTAGGAACCGTTTTACGGAGTTCTTTATCGATGAGTTGAATGAGCGTAATGACTTGATGCTGCTCATTGGTGATTATTTGTATCATATGAATCTTGGTGGTGGAGTTTTGGAAGCTATATACACTTTCTACGCCAGTATTAAGAAGGAAGCTAAATTGAGCCTTGTGGATGGATCAGGTAAGGAGTTTAACAAATGATAATAAATAAATGATGCCAGAAATTCTTCTACTTACTAATTTTCTTTTCTCTTTCAGGCAATACTCCACACTATTCTCTTAGGACATTATGCAGAGCTCTAACGGCTGCAGCCAAAGCAAGATGTGGAACGGTATCCAGATCTCTTTATGAAGCGTTCTGCTTATCTTTCCTTACCCAGTTGGACAGTTCGTCACATCCTAAAGTAGAAGCTATGATTGCCAAGTATGTCACTATGAAATTTTGTTGTACCCACGAAAATATTATTTGAAATCCAATGTATTCTAATTCTATGTCTTTTCTCAGGGCTGTCATCGGTAAAAAGAATGTCAAAACAGTTACCAACCAACTCATTCCCGAACCACAAGTCCAAGGTCAAAATTATTTGCTCTTCGAAGGTCATTGGATTCCTCAGGGCAAATTAGAAATAGCTATCCCAGAAGGATACATCCTTACTCCAACAGTTAGAAAGAACCTTCGCGATATAGCTCGAATTATTTCCCTTGGTCGATTACCCATATTGCTGCAAGGAGACACCTCCGTAGGCAAAACATCCCTCATCACATACATAGCTAAAGCATCCGGAAATTATTGCGTCAGAATAAATAACCACGAGCATACTGACCTTCAAGAGTATATAGGATCTTACGCTACAGACTCCAATGGCAAACTAGTATTTAAAGAAGGCGTTCTAGTCGAAGCCATGAGAAAAGGCTATTGGATTATCCTAGACGAGCTCAATTTAGCTCCAAGTGACGTTTTAGAGGCTCTAAATCGAGTCTTAGATGACAATAGAGAATTATTCATACCAGAAACTCAACAAGTCGTTAAAGCGGATCCTAATTTCATGTTATTCGCTACCCAAAATCCTCCAGGCTTGTATGGAGGTCGTAAAATGCTGTCCAGGGCGTTTAGAAATAGATTTGTAGAGTTACACTTCGATGAGATACCAAAGAAAGAATTGGAAACTATACTGCACCAAAGATGTCATGTTCCTCCAGCTTATAGTAAGAAAATGATAGCAGTTATGGCGGACCTTCAAATTAGGCGTCGAGGTTCCGCAGCTGTTCAGGGCAAAGACGGATTCATCACACTGAGAGACTTGTTCCGATGGGGCCAACGATACAAGTGTGCCTCAAAGGAATCTTTGACTGACGATAAATTTTACGATTGGGACCAACACATAGCCGACGAAGGGTACCTCATCTTAGCTGGAAAAGTACGTCAGACAGACGAGAGATCCATTATCGAGGAAGTAATAGAGAAACATATTAAAAGGAAGGTCAACCCTGACAATCTGTTTACTCTACACCCTGCAACATCTCCCGTTACCAAGTCAATCTTGGAGACTATTCTGAATAACCAACTTGAGGAGTTCTCTCACGTTGTCTGGACGTACAATATGAGAAGACTTGCAGTCCTGATAGCAAAATCCTTCAGTTTCGATGAGCCGGTCCTGCTGGTTGGTGAAACTGGTTGTGGAAAGACAACCATATGCCAAGTCCTGGCAGCCCTCAAAAAACGTCAGTTGCTCTCAGTTAACTGTCACATGCACACAGAAAGCTCAGATTTCTTAGGAGGACTCCGTCCTGTACGACAGTACCAAAACGATGGTAGATTGTTTGAATGGGTCGACGGACCATTAATTAAGGCTATGGAGACAGGAAACATGTTCCTAGCTGACGAAATATCCCTGGCTGATGACAGTGTTTTGGAGAGAATGAACTCATTACTGGAACCTGAAAGGCAGTTAGTGCTCGCTGAACGAGGCATGGAGAACAATTCTGACATCGTTGTCATCACAGCGAATAAGAACTTCCATTTTATCGGAACTATGAACCCTGGCGGAGATTTCGGTAAGAAAGAGCTGTCACCCGCTCTTCGTAACCGATTTACCGAAATTTGGTGCGACAGCGTCACATCCAGAGAAGACTTGTTGAAAGTACTCGAAAAGAGCGTTCATAAAGGAGTGTCCCTTGGCAACCAAGAAGATGGTAGCTCAGGCATCGGTACTTCTATCTTGAACTTCACCGATTGGTTGAAAAATTCTGAAGTAACCAACAAATTCCCATTCAGTATCCGTGATTTACTGTCATGGGTCAATTTCATTAATATAACAGTTGCAAAAGGCCTTTTGGATACTCCTGAAGCGTACGTCCATGGCGCTTGTATGACATTCTTGGATTGTTTCGGAACAGCGTTAACAGGCCACATTGACTCCGAAACACTAGTTTTACTTCGAAAGAATGCCATCAATCTGTTATTGGAACAAATTAAATCAAGTGGAAGTGAATACATGGAAGGTCTGCGAGAAATGTTGAGTAATAAACAGACTAAGTTTGTCGCAGAAAGTGGTCCCGAAAAGTTCGGGATCAAGCCATTTTATATTGAAGTTGGACAAGGAAATACTGAGGGAGAACAAAACTTACGTTCACGGCTCCAACAACTGGCGCCAATACTTTGAGACTGTTACGGGACTGCACTGAATAAAGCATACTTCTAGAAGGAAACCCTGGAGTTGGCAAGACGAGCTTAGTGACTGCACTTGCAAAATCCTCTGGCCATAAAGTGGTTCGGATCAATTTGAGTGACCAAACTGTAAGTATTTCTAAGATCAATTTTCGTTTCTTTATTTTGGACTAGACTTTATAATTATTCTTTAATTTTTTCACAGGATATTACGGACTTATTCGGAACGGATCTCCCAACAGAGGATGGGTCTTTCATGTTCAAAGAGGTGCTTTCTTGAGCGCGCTGCAAAATGGTGACTGGATTCTTTTAGACGAGTTGAATTTAGCTCCACAGCCTGTCCTCGAAGGTCTGAATGCTTGCCTGGATCACAGAGGTGAAGTATTCATTCCTGAACTGGGTAGAACCTTCAAGGTCAAAGAGCAAACCAGACTGTTCGCCTGCCAAAATCCTTTGAAGCAAGGGGGAGCGCGCAGAGGTCTACCAGTCTCCTTCTTGAACCGATTTACTCAAGTTTACATCGATACGTTGACCAAAGAAGACTTGATATACATCGTAGAGTCACAGTACTCAGCTATACCTAAAGATATTCTACACATGATAGTAGAATTTAACTGCAAGGTAGCTCATGAAGTTACAGAGATTCAATCGTGGGGCCACAGAGGAGCTCCTTGGGAAATGAACTTGAGAGACATACAGCGGTGGTGCGAGGCCATTATTTTAGACGAGAAAGAACGAGAAATCCTGTCCCCGGGAAAATTCGTTGACATACTCTACGTGAACCGTATGAGAACTCAAGAAGATAAAGAAAAAATGATCGAAGCCTACGATAAAATATTCCTTCCGCTCTACCCGAGAAGTGATCCCACGCCACAGTTCTATGTCAGCCTTCCAAGCGTAGTATTTGGAGACGTTGTTTTAAACAGAAAAGATCAAAAAGAGTTCAAAAACCGTCGATCTTTTGACACGAATTTGCTTGTACTTAGAAGTCAACTGCCTACTTTGAAAGCGGTGGCCCAAAGCATCAAGATGAATTGGTTGACAATTTTAGTTGGACCTACAGCCACAGGCAAAAGCAGTATTGTGCAAGTGTTAGCAGACTTGACAGGAAATGAATTGCAAGTGATACCAGTGACATCGGCAATGGACGTTTCTGACCTCCTCGGTGGTTTCGAACAAGTCGATTTTAATAGAAATTTAGAGAACTTGTTCGAAAAAATTGAGACTCTTACGTTACAAACGATTAGAAACATGTGGATCATGCAAAGAGCTTTTGAATGGAAAAACAATCGCTTACTAACTGAACTACATGAGTACCAAAAACTAAACAAGAACACTAGTAATGAAATATCAGAGGACAATACAGCGAAGTTCAACCAAAAATTGAATTCCTTCTCGCCCATTGCGAGAAATTGATACAAAACAATGAACGTCAAGATCAAGTTCTCAAGAGATTACATGACATCGTGAATAGTTTGAAGAAACTGCAGAACAAAGTGTCACAGGCATCATCAGTAAATGCTGGTGGAAAGTTCGAGTTCGTGGACTCTTTGCTTGTAAAAACCATGATCGAAGGTTCATGGTTACTCCTGGACAACGTGAATCTTACATCCGCAGCCGTTCTTGACAGACTCAACGGCTTATTAGAACCGAATGGAGTACTAAGCATTCCCGAAAGAGGAGAGTTTAGCGAAATAAAACCTCATCCGAATTTCCGAGTGTTTTTCACTATGGATCCGAAATATGGGGAGATTTCAAGGGCTATGAGGAACCGAGGTGTGGAAATATCCCTTCTAAGACCAGATGAGTTACAGAATTCGTATGTGTCTGAAACTGAGAACTTATTTGATTTGACGGCTCTGCTGTCCTCTTGTGGACTGCCTACTAAATACCATGACTTGTTCATTAAATGTCATGAGCTAATGCAGTCATTTGTTGAAGGTATGTATTATTGTGGATTGTAGTTTTAAAACCATTTTTTATATTTTTTAGTTCGTAATTTGATTAATGATTCTCTTTCTCCAGGTCTCGACCGTCCAACTATTTCCCATCTGTTACAAGCAGCTCACCTGACATGGCAACAGTTACTCCGCGGCATTTCAGCGACCACAGCCATCGTCAGCAGTTTCTCTGACGTATACATCAAACCACGATGCGGCGCCGATTTCGCGTCAAACGTGAACGCCTCACTCGCCGAAATGAAAAATTCCATGTTGAAGGCCCTAGAAGAAGAAGTAAATGGAGAGAAATTAGGGGATACGGCCATTGTACACGCAGATACATTCCACACTACTAGCGTAAAAGGTTTCTGTAGAAACACTCCAGTTGAAATCGCCAAACAACTCTGCTATATTGCTGTACAAGAAACTAAAAATTCCACAATAGAATCACCCCTACACGTCATGTTTGGCTTATACTCAGTATACCAAAGAGTGCATCCAACTTATTTTACTTCTACATACGGCGTCATCAACAATATCTTGAAGAAACAATGCCGCGGAACTGACGCAGAGTACGTCGAGACAATGAATGATATATGCTTTGAAATGTACAAGTTTTATGGAGAGTTACAGGCATACAAAAAGTACTATCCAGAATTATACACCTTGGAAGATCGGGAAATACGTATGGGTAACAGAGAAGCATTAACGTTATACAATAATCTTATTACTTACTATATGAAGATCTCCGCCCCCGAGGGTACATTTACAGTTGCTAATTATTCCAATGCTGTTATAGAAGGCAAATTAACGGACGATTTTCCAGAATACCCGATATTGAAGTTCTGTCAGAGATATCTCGCTATTATTGATGAGTACATCTCAATAGGCATAAACAGAAGTAATTTAGATGACGAAACAGCTTGTCATATGTTCCAACTTCTGAGTTGGAGAGAAAGGTTCTTTAGGACCGCTCACGAACAGATCTTTGCAGAAACCAACGAGGCTAGTCGGCGCAAAGTGTTAAGGGACGATATTGTTCCTCTTCTGTACGCACATAGTAAGTGGCTGCAGAAACATTTGATGCTCCCCTTACTAAAACTGACTGGTCGCGAAAATGTGCTCAGACGATTCAACGAATCTTCAGCGGTAATTGCAATGTCTATTGAAGAAGATAATACGGAGTACACAAAGTTGAGTAAAAAACTCCGCAAATCATACGGTCAGCCAAAGTTGTTGGATAACCAGGCAGAATATGAGGCTTGTATTGAAAGATCTAAGATCTACAATAAAATATCTTTAGACCTCAATCAGCCAATTTCAAAACAACTGCATAGACTCTCGGCAGAGAACTATGCTGTAACAGATATGACATTGGCTTTAGATGTGCCGGACAGCGAAAAGCTAAAAGCAATCCAGAATAATCTTGACCAAGTTGAAAGTAAGGTCATTGAGAAACCAGGACCTCACGTTAAGATCCTTCCAATCATCTCCTATGTGGTTCAAAGGGTCCTGACCATCTTACAAAGAGATTTCCTCAACGTTTTGACGGAAGTAGCAAAGAATGAAGATATAGTGACTGTTAGTATTGAGACTTCGGAAGTCCTAGCCAGTTTGGTGACCTTGGGCAGGGTGACCAAAGGGTTCCCGCAAGCTTTGTTGAATCTAATGGAAGTGTTGTTGAAGCTTCAGAATGATGATGGCAGTGTGCTTTGTGAGAGGTAAGATACTTTTACTTGTAAGACATTTTTAATGAATACTGTCTAATAGCAGTTTTTAGTTTTCGTGCATCAGAATGAGTGGGTATCTAATGTAATACTATAAAATCACTATAAAAACTGTTTATTTTTGTGTCTGTGCATTTTAAACTCACGAGCCCGATTTTTTTAATATCATGGTATTGATATAAACAAATACACACACAACTTAGAAGTACATTTTTGTTATACACGCTCCAATTGATTTCTTCTCAAAGATGAACACTTTTTTCAGAATATCATCACTGCCTATAAAATTCTGGGACGAGTATTACAAGGCCGTGGTCTATTCACCTGCCTTCTATCCCTCTCCGTTCCTCGCTCCTTACGACCCTAGTAGTGCAGATGATGTGGTGGAAGAGATACCGGTGAATAGCAAGAGATTGTCCAATAACCTCCCTCTGCTTCCTTATTATCTGCAGAAGTTTACCGTGTCTTCTGATAATCCTGGTAAGTTTGTTAATTTTATTATGTAAATTGCTATGTTGGTGAAAGGTGATTTAACTGAGTATCAGAATAAATCACCTTTCAGGCAATAGGCTCACCCCCTATTACATGGGACTCATAACATAAATAGTGAAAAGTGGTTGTTACATTGTACAGTCGTACAATGTGCACCTCTGCCTACCCCTTCGGGGATAAAAGGCGTGATGTTATGTTATGTCAGAATAAAATAGATTGGATTGACCACTAGTGTATTTTGATGGGGACCGGCTTACGGTCCCCATCAGACAGATCATTGGATAGTAAGCAATCGGCGTCGTCCATGTACTACTGGAACACCAGAGGGGATCTTTTGGGAATTAGAATTTTGATGGTCATTGGGAATATACTTTGCCTTTAGATAGACCCAATAATCCTCAAATTCCTAATCCCCATTGGGATTGGGGAGTGGAATAGGGATGAGTAATTGGGCTTCCGGTAACCTCACTCACACGACGAAACGCAAAGCAAGTGTTGTTTCACGTTGATTTATTGTGAGGCCGTGTCTGAATAAGAATTTGATAGATGTTTGGTAGAGCAGAACGGAAGAGACTGTATTTTGTGGCTATCTCAAGTCACATAAGAGCGTTAAGAAGAAAGATAGGATGATACCGGAACATAAGCTTTAGGCATCAAATTTGTAGATTTCAGTTCAACTAATAGTTTTATCCGACTCTGGGATTATTCTAAAAACTCAACCAGATATCCCAGTGTTTCTAAACCTCATGAGTATTCTAAGCCGTCCACATTATAAAAGGAGAAACTAAAGTTAAATAATTATTTCAGAATCGCGTCACTTGCTAGCGTATGAAGCGGTGGCGATGGAGGATAGAACTAAGTACTCAATGCAACTGGGAACTGTGTTGAATGTCCTATGGAAGAATATCGCCACACTGGATTGTGCAGTATCAATCAAATTGTAAGTGTTTTTGTTTTGAGTAGCATTTTGGTGAAACAAACTTAATTATTCTATTCCATCTATTTGAATTGGTCATAACCACACACTGGTCCAAATTTCGGTCTCCAAAAATTTTATAAGACTAGAGTCAAAGATTGTATTGGAGATATTGTACTGAGTCAGTGGCGTGCACAAGTTAGGCAACTTAATATGGTATGGTTACCATCAGACCAACACAGATGGGGCCCAATAGGGCTGTTGCCGATTCGGAGTCGCGGAGAACCTAACGGGTAACCGGGGCTCCGGCTCGACGTGCAGGAGAAGCAACGGGGTCGTTTTTAGTCAGTAAGAGCCTGAAACTCCCTTCCGCCTCACCCAGGCGGGAGCAGCCATTCGATGATTTTCCCCCCTTAAAAAAATATGGTATGATTGACCGTCATACATCCATACTGCGTTCAAGCATATTACTTTTTTTATTCTTCCACCAAATTTTTTGTTACACTGCAATCTCGCGTAATGTTTGTGAAGTATTTCATCAGCTATCGAATAAACCGACAAAACTTTCAAAAATAATCGTATAAGTGAGTTGCCATACTTAAATTTATGTGTTAAAAAGTAGTTTCTGTTGGTAGATTTTTTTTATACATCTGAAACTTTCTAATCATTTCATAATGTTTTGTACAAGTATTTTATATTCAAAGCTATAATTAACTTTCTCACATTTTGTATTCCAGGATATCAGATGCAAAATTCGAAATGAAGAAATACGAGCAACTCATAAACTTCTTATATTCAGCTTTAGATCTCAAGAACGAAACGAAAACGTTCGAGGAGAGACGTTTCAACGTCACCGAAAACGTTCGAGCGCGGTATAGACAAACCAACTTTGACGACATACTAATCGAAGCGAATATAGCTTACGATGGACTTTTAACCTTATTGAACAAGAATACAGATGAATTACGAATGAAAATGATCACAACACAATTATCAGTGCATACAAGTGTGTTAATAACTAAGATTTTGTCTGAGATCGTTCCGATGGATCGTGTGGCTAAATACAGACTTAAAGTCAAATATATAGATGAAGATATCAAAATGTTTGATGCTTTGCTAAGCGTATATTACTTCCATGGTATAGTGACAGGTTCTATTGACTACTTCGGTGGTATTGATAGACCATCCCAAGTTACGTTTAATAAGTTAAGCAAAGAAAGCGGTTTGTTAAAAGTCCACCCACATTGCCGCACTATTATGGAGCTGAGACAAAAGACTATTGATAAAGTCGCCAAGTATAAGCTTGGGAATACATTCAGACCTGAAGAGCCGAGTTATATTAGTTTTGCTAATGTAAGTACTTCGTTATTTAGATAGAAAATTATAGGCAAACCCTTTTAGCTGATTTAATTTAGACTTAAAAGGAACTACTAAGCTAATGGTAGGACACTTATTGACATATAAATTTCACCAACCTATAAGTAACATCTAACAGTACAGCTAAAGAGTTGGATTAGGTGCTACTTCACGCTAAGTAGATCTTAATTAAGAGATGGTTGGTGATAACGGCCATTGGTCATTTACAAAATGGAAGGTACATTTTTGCAAAACCTTTCTTGTATTGAAAAGTCAAAACAACAGATTATAAAATGGTATAATACATATTTTGGAATTTCACAGGACTGCAAGCACTTCACAAAATCAGTTCTCTCATCGAAAACTACACAAGACATTACCACCAACCTTATTAACGCGAGCAAAGAACTATACGGAATCATAGTTACCAACAGCACAAACAAAACAGTGCTGCAAACAGCACAGAGAGTGGTCAAAGAAACTTCTTCGTGGCTGTATTCTGTGAACGCATTTTATAAGAAAATTGAGACTTATTCTGAAGCAATGCCTGACTTAGCAAAACCTCTCCAAAGTTCCATATCCCAACTTGTTTTTAGTATAACCTCCTTGAACGATTTGACCAAGGAGTTGATAGTCAAGATTGAACAAGGTTCATTATTAAAGGAGGCTGTGCATGATTTGATGGTGTTCCCCAATGACATTCCTAATAGTAGCGGTAGAGAGGCGCATTTGAACAGGTTTTTGTCTATGAAATTTAGTCAGTTGTTGGCTAGAAATGTGATGGGTGGCAGCGAAGAGACTTATCCTGCTGAAGTGGAGGTGGTGCAGTAAGTATTTATTTTCTTATTTAGCGTTAACTAGCTGAGCCGGCGACTTCGTCCGCGTGAAATAGTGATTCACAGCTCGTCCCCGCAGTTGATAGCATGATAATATGTAGCCTAGATGTTGACCCGACCTGTTAGTAATTTTATTATTCAAAATTTTTAAGTCAATTCATGCATCACTTTTTGAACTCATCCCGGACAAACATACAAAAATTCTAAAAACCAAGCATCAACTGCAGATCACAACCAAAGCATTATTTAAAAAAATATATGATGTACAGTTCTCACTTTCCTACGATTTTATTATATGTATAGATGGGTCTTATTTGTTTAAACACTGCGATAGAAAAACAAATGTATCTCTTAGTTATTGCAATCGCATCTATTCCCAATTTTAAAGTAATTTAAACCGTTGATAATCAGTTTTAAGACTCATTTTACTATAAATTAAGTACTAATCATCCGATTTTTTAATTTTTCTGGTAAATACTCACTAGCTTTATGGGTCCAAAATACGTAAAGTAATAATAATTAATGTGTAAAATGTTTTAAACCTATAAACAAAAATAATAATAACACAAAAATTTAGTAGAATAGAATAGAATAGAATATAACTTTATTGTACACCATTAATAATACAGTAGATACAGAAAAGGAAATGACAAATATAAATAAAAATAATAATGGGCACAAAGGCGGTCTTATCACTTATAGTGATTTCTACCAGACAACCTTTGGGTGGATATAATGAAAAGAAATATTTATACGGGTTGTGTACTAAGAAAAAAATAAATAAATAACGTAGTAATAATATATACATACATGTACATATACATACACATAAACATGCATACATATACACATACATACATACATATACACATACATACACACAAACATACATATATACATGATTACATACCTACTTACACTTAAATATACCATTATTATGGACCACTTAAAAGGAAACAGTTTGGTGATGACATTATAGAGAAGAGAGGTAGTGCTTCTTAACTTGGCCCTTAAACGCAGCCAACGACTTAGCTTGTCTTATCGACACTGGCAGTGCATTCCACAACCTAACAGCTTGCACAGTGAATGACTTGCTGTAGAATTTTGAGGAATGCTGGGCCATCTCCAATCTCAGATTCGCTGACGACCTCAGTGATCTCGAATGTGCGTCATTTAGGAACTTGAAACGTTCTTTGAGGTAAGAGGGGGCAAACGGATTGAACAGTATATTGTAAAGTAGGGACAAGATATGAGTATTCCGGCGAAGGCGGATTGGCAGCCACTTGAGTATATTGCGATATTCGGTAACGTGGTCATACTTGCGCAAACCAAATATGAACCTGATGCTGAAATTTTGGAGTCTCTCAAGCTTATCTAACTGCTCCTCGGTAAGATCTAGATAGCTGGCATCGGCGTAGTCAAGGAGAGGGAGCAGAAGTGATCGAGCGAGCGCAACTTTGGTTGCAGTTGGCAGAAAGTTCCGGAGCCTGCGTAAAGATCCTGCTGACGCAAATATTTTGCGGCTGACTTCTCGCAGCTGTGGCCCCCAGGAAAAGTCTTTGTCTATCAGGATCCCTAGATCCTTCACAGTGTCACTGTACGGGATTCTCGTACCATCAAAGACAATCGGTGAAATATGTGACCAGACTATCTTTGAGCGCAATCGCGGGGTACCGACAACAATGACCTGCGTCTTCGCAGGATTGATGTTAAGCCCATGAGCCTTACTCCAGTTGGAAATCCGTACTAGGTCCCTGTTCACCATCGTCACGGCTTCAGAGAACTCATGAGGAGGCGCTTGTGAGTAAATCTGTAGATCGTCAGCATACAAATGGTAGGATGAAAGAAGTTCGTTGGAGATAGAGTTTATAAAGATTGCGAAGAGTAATGGAGAAAGGACGCCCCCCTGCGGTACGCCGGCAGTTGCATCAGACCATGACGAGAGTGAACCTTCAATGCAGACACGCTGCCGGCGGCCAGACAGGTAACTACGAAACCATTCAATTACAGCTGGCGATATGCCATGAGAACCGAGTATCCCAAGAAGTATATCGAAGTCGACAGTGTTAAAAGCATTGCTAAAATCTAGCAGGGTCAGCAACGTGAGGTTGCCATTTTCGATGCCAGATCTTATGTCCTCCGTGATGTTAATTAAGGCTGAGGTGGTACTATGTCCTGGACGAAACCCGGACTGGAAGGGATTAAGGAGATTGTGTTTGGTCAGGAAAGCACTAAGCTGCTTATGGATGAGGCGCTCAAGGACTTTGGAAAGGAATGGTAAAATGGAGATAGGACGATAATCAGATGGACCACAAGGATTTGGTTTCTTTGGTAAGGGGGTAACTTGTGCTTCCTTCCATGCAGAAGGAAAAACACGGCTGGACAGGGAATAATTAAGTATATGACAGATGACTGGAAGAATTTCATCCAGGACAGAAAGTATCATCTTGCGGCTAATACAATCATTACCCACCGCATTGGATGTGATAGCCTCTATGCTTTTCTTAACATCACCAGCCGTGAATTGATCAAACAGAAATGGAGAGTAATCGGGTACAGGAAGAGAAGAAAGATAGTTAAGTGTTACAGTTTTGAAAGAAGCATTGATAGTAGAAGAAGTGGAAAAATGTTTATTTAATGATTCTAAGTCTACGTCTTTGGAATGGTTATCCTGACGTAGCTTCCCGACTCCCATAGATCTGAGAAATTTCCAGACTTTGGCTGGTTCACCGTCCTCAACGGATTTATGAATGTGGCGGCGTTGTGCATCTCTACACATTCTGTTGCTGCGATTACGAATGGTAACATACCCGTCACGATTCGCAGGAGTTGGTTGGCGCTTAAACTTGGATTTTGCCACTGCTTCCTCCTTATCATGTCCCTAATCTCCTCCGTCATCCACGGAGCTGGTAGGTGTTTAATTTTTATTGGACGAATAGGTGCATGGGCGTCGTAAAGTTCAGTCAGTTTAATATTAAAAAGATTGACTTTTTCATTTATTGTCTCAGCAGCAAAGAGCTCAGACCAGTCAATGCCGTCGGCATCCTCACGAAGTCGCTCGAGATTCATGCCACCGAAATTGCGCTGCAAAAGAATTTGGGTTAGGCTTCGGAGGACAGATTTTGTAGGAAAGAAAAATAAGATCGTGGTAAGAGAAGTTGTCAGCTGAGCATTGTCCATGCTTAGCTACATATTGGATAGAGGAAACAAGAATAAGGTCAAGAAGAGAAGGTAAACAATTAGGAAAGTGATGAGTGGCGCTCAGAGGAAGAAGAGTTAGGTTAAGGGATTGAGCAATAGATAAAAGTGACGAGGAGCGGAAATCTTGCTTGAGAAGACAGGTGTTGAAATCACCCATTATAATCGTATGACTGTAAGAAGGTGTATATTTATGGAGTAGATTTTCAAAGGAGGAGAAGTAATCGATGCGCAAAGATGGACAATAATAAACACCGAGCAATACCTTCGTGTGAAACAAGGTCAATTCCAAAAGAAGATGCTCACCCGCGTTCCGCGGCGGCGGCTGCGATGACATATCAATTATTTTATAGGAAATATTGTGACGTAGATAAATGGCAACGCCACCACCACCGCAGCCCGTGCGGTCGTTTCTTATCAATTGGAAACCAGGTAAGGAGTAGGAGGAGGAAGGAAGGCACGGTTTTAACCAGGATTCGGATACAAGGATGGCGTGGATATTCTTACAGTCTAGATCTGCAAGCATATCGTGGTAGTGAGCTGGAATACTCTGTGCATTTATGTGGACTACATTGAGATTCTTCGGTACATCAGCAAATTTGGAGCTGAGCGTGTCAGCTAGGGAAGGTAAACTGGATAAGCTATCATCATCACTATTAGTTATTACAAGACTATCAGTATCGCTTGCTGTATCAGTATAAATCATAAGTGTAGGTAATATAATAATAATTTATACTAATTATAATAAAAATATATGAGGTATACTTATATAAAAGAAAATAAAATAATTATAATAGATAAATGAGTACTTAATTTAAATATGTTACAAATTATGTATCCACCCGCCAGTTGTGTGTTAAAATAAAACAAAGAAAAAATAAAAAAAACTACCACTTAACACAAAAGAAACGCCAGAGAACAATAAAATAAAATTAATAAAAAAGAAAAGTTATTATGGTGAGAAATAAAAGAATAACATACATACAAAAGAAAATTAAATAAATAAAACATGACTAAATATAAGCACTTTGGGTCATAGACAATGCACGCATACATAAGATCTGGAACGCGACCATAGAAGCAACAAGCACCACATTGCACGCATCGCTCCATGAACGCGACCGAAACTAACCTCCTAACCTGACGTTTGACATGTGTCAAAACGGCAGATCAGAAAAAGTAAACAAAACAATGAATGAAACATCGGATCCTGATCACTGACTGCGAAATTACCCGCAATTTACATATCATAACGTCTTTGTTATAAATAAACTGGAAATAAGAAAAAGGAAGATATGAGGAGGGTAGAAACAATATTACAATAAGGCAGAAACAATAACATTATACTGGTCAAAACCGCAATCAGCTAATTTGAACAAACGATAATAGAATTATGAATATGAAGATGAAGATAAATATAAATTAGAAACAGGATCATAAGTGGTGAATACTATAGTGATTTTAACATTAAGAAGGTGCAATATCTACTCCAAACCACCACAGTACACACAGTAAAAAGACTTAGTGCCAGTAATAGAATATGTTACCCAGATGCAGCAGAAACGCCGGACTCACTTTCTGCTAGCCACACGTACACGCCGCGGCCCAGTGGAAGAAGGCTTCGGGCCCACTGCCGCAGGGGACTGCTTGGGGGCTACCGTAGGACACTCCTCAGTAATCGGAGCAAGACACCGCTCGGACACTGGCGCAGGCTCACCGATTGCATGGAGCTCGCCGTGGCTTACAATGCGGTGTCTTTTACCTTTTGGGCCGTTGATGTAAATATATCCCCGCTTCGTCCAGCAGTTAGCCACACCAAACCTTTCGCGTGCAGCCATGAAGACCCGATGTCGCGTCCTTGTCAGGAATTCAGACAAGGTGATACCTGAACCTTTCAGCCTAGTTTTAACGTGCCAAACCTCATCTCGGACATCCACATCCCGGAACTTCAGCAATATGGGTCTAGGATTCCTAGTGTTTGCCTGACTGCCAACTCGATGACACCTCCGGATGGCAGAGGCAGTGAAGGTCTTCAGATCCAACCTATCCCGCACCACCCCAACTTTTTGACTGCTCTGGGACTCCATGGATAAGAAGAATCTTCCTACGGTTTCGCATCTCCAGAGCATCAACCTCAGTTACATAAGACTCCAACTGCCGCTGCAAGCACTCAAGAGTTTCAAAAATGAACTTTTTGAACTCCAAGTAGTCCGGTGGTATACTTAAAGCGCTGCCAGGTGCCAAATCAGGTGGTGATTTATGCAAATAGTCTGCCTCAAACCTCTCCATCCTCTCAGTGAACTTCATTGTCAAGTCAGCAATTGTTCCCTCCATCGATTTCATTGTTTACTTGTATATTTGTAGCAGTTAGTACTAACAGGAAAATATGATAAACACACTCAACCAGCAGGTATTTACTTTTAGGTTGTTATTGTCATCAATAAATATATTATTTACTATTATATTCAATAAAAATACAAATTTAAATTGCGAGACACTTTTTGCGCGACCGTTTAGTACTTTATACTGTTAATTTATTTCATCATCATCATCAACAGCCTATAAATGCCCACTGCTGAGCAAAGCCTCTTCTCACACGGAGAAGGTTTGAGCATTAATCACCACGCTTGCTCAATGCGGGTTGGCAATTTGGTTGTTGGTTAATTTATTTATAACTTTAAAATTAAAAATATTGTACTGAATAGTCTGAAACACAGGTTCAACCTAGTTCAGGCAAATAAGCTACTGAGCTCTAATCAAATCTTTAAGATACTATTCATGTAATTATGCCCCTTTTTATAAAATAAACAATTTATTAAACACATTTCATGAAACATACGTACGGTACCAAGAAGCATTTAAAAAAAATAATGTCTCCACAGGGTGTTAAAAATGAACCTACTAGAGATACGCATGCACTGCACGGCACTAGACAAGATCGACAGACCGTCTATGGAGGCTATACTGACTACACTCAACGCTCTTGTAAAGGCTTGGGAGCAACAACAGAAAGAAATCGAGAAGAAAAAACAGGATGATGAAGCATTATATGTTACTAAGTAAGTATTTTTCAATCTTTATACTTTTTTTTTGAGGGTGGAAAATCATCCAATGATTTCTCCCGCCCGGGTGAGGCGAGAGGTAGTGTCAGACTCTTACTGACTAAAAACCACCCCGTTCCTACTCCTGGACTTCGAGCCGGAGCCCCGGCATCAATCTTTATACCTACTAGCCAATAGGGTAGATGACTAATTTCAATATTAATGTCCGTCTGGTAGATTATTTAAAAACTTTTCACCTTTACTTTTTATTTTCTTCCGGAAACAAATAATTTCGACGGTATATGGCATTAAAATATCGCGTGACGTCACTTCTAGGTACGTTTTATATACTTAGAAATGACGTTTTAGCTCCCACTTCGATTCATTTATCTATGGTTTGTTTTCTTGTACGATAAAATAAAGAAATACGTGTCTGATATTTTTTATTACCTAGCTTATGGACTAATTACATTTTTAATTTTCATACTCCGTCATTATCTCTATTTGGGAGTTATTAGCGAGGCCTCTGTTTATCAGTTGATATCTTATGGCTTATATGATGGGAACAATGAATTTTCATAATAATTTATTGTCTCCGATTTAATCCATCAAAATAAATAAACTGTGTATGTCAGATAAAATAGTTATTTCGATGGTTTAATGGTCAGTCAGTTAATTTAATGTCTACCTAAGAGATCAAGGCTTAGTTAGTCTTATTTAAAGACCTCCATAGTTAATCTACCTCCATTTCCAGATCGAAATGTGAAGACGAAGATGAAGAAGCGATGGCCTTAGAAGAAATGATGGAGATGTTCCCCTCGTACTCAGACCAAGACTTTGCAGAATTCAAACCACCAACCCTAGAACAAGTACCAATAAAGACCGCAAAAACAGAAAAACCGAAACAGAAATTCCTAATATCACCTGAAGATATTAGTCTAGTATACAAATGGCATTCCAATTTAGTTCGTAACATGACGTCAGCGGACTGGTTACCCGACCGAAAGAAGTTGGTCGGTAATGACGTTGTTAGTCCCTTCTTGGAGAGGTATCCTACGTTTAGCCGGCTTGTAGATAATGCGTGGGAGGCTTTGGACGCGGAGTTTGAAGGGAAGATCTCGCCGAGTCTGATGGTCCTTATTGCTCAGATTAAGGATAAAGTTGATGGGGAAGGTAAGATCTTATTTTTATATTCTACTAGCTTTTACCCGCGGCTTCGCTCGCGTCACAAAAGGATAAAAAGCAGCCTATGTGACATATACCAATACACAAAGCGCCATCTATACCAATACTTTTGTTTTCCCTCGAGAATATCAAATTTTTCCGGGATAAAAAGTACTCTATTATTTAATCCGGACTTCTAACTTTACGTCTGCAAAAATTCGAAGCAATCGGTTTAGTAGTTACGGCGTGAAAGCGGAACAAACAAACAAACTCACTTTCCGATTTATAATATTAGTAAGGATTCTTATTTTTATGTTCCCAACTATTGTTGTGCAATATTCTGGGTAAACACTATAGTTTGTTCGCATTAAGAATACAGTAAGTCATCAGTGCAACTGTAAGATAGAGGTGTATTCATAGTGGTGCGTTAAAATTTTTTTTAAAGATTAATGAGGTTTAATGTGTTTATAAAAATACACTTTAAAGTTTAAAATCAGTTTTACAGGGCGGAACTAGGCTGACAGACAATGATGACTTACTGCATTCTTAACGCGAATGTACTGTAAAGTATGAGATTATATATTGAAGTACTTTCTAGTTTTCGGAGTTTGGCAGTTGCTTAATTTTTCAATTAATGTAAGATAGGGGTAGAAGTTGTTGTCGTTACAGGGGCTACAGCCTACAAAATATGAATTAGGAATTTTAATATCAAATTATTCGAATGTCTTTGTCGTCTTTGCCACAAAGGGCAATATTTAACTGATTATTTTTGATTTTTTTATTACATGGGACTCATAACATAAATAATGAAAAGTGGGTTTTACATTGTACAGTAGTTTAATGTTTACCTCTGCCTACCCCTTCGGGGATAAAAGGCGTGATGTTATGTTATGTCTTTTTGGTTTTTAGAGTCGTCAAGCAAGGTAGACTTCTACAGATCCGCCTGGGTGTCGGAAACCAAGCAGTGTGTGCCGCTACTTCATCGAGTGAAAGAGAACACCAATGAATTGCTTGATCAGTGGCCAGACTTCCCTACTTTGAAGGAGGTGAGTGATATTTTATTTTAATGACTTATACCAAATACTGAAAGGCTACTCAAATTTAAGTTGTACTTACATATCGTGCTATATCTGTCATTTTATAAAGAATTTGTAGTGATTGGTCTATACTTAAGCGCGACTTAAAACTGAGAAATGTATCAGTAATGCTTAGATCTTTAAACCTACGCAACAAATTTTGTTGCGGTTTTCTTTAATAGATAGAGTGATTCTTAAGGAAGGTCTACATGTATGATACTTGCATATTGCACCTGTGCGAAGCTGGGGCGGGTCGCTAGTAGATATTAAATTACTTGGAACGATATAAATTATATTTTTATGAGGTTTACTCAACTGTCAAATTATTGGGCAGGTTTTTATCTTAGTCATACTGTCTTTAACCATCATATCAGCCATCTAAATTGCAATAAATTAGTCTAATACTGTACGAAATTCAAGTGGAAACAGCCTTAATATTTATAAGATGTGACATTACCATCGTCCGAATCTAACCAAGTCATTATTATTCTCCAGATAATAGTAATAGTAAACAGGATCCTAAGTTTCCCGATAACAAGTCCGGTGAGTCGGTTCCTAACGGGGCTAGAGTTGCTCCGGGACAAAATAGAGGAGTGGAACAAAAACGCCCATAAAGGAAACAATATGATCGAAGTGTCTCTGGCTGTTGGACAACAGATTATAAATTGGAGGAAACTAGAGATGGCGCACTGGAAGGAGTGTCTTAATAATCTGTATAATAGGTATGTATGACAATTATAATCTTTGTTTTATGCCCATGTATGTTTAAAGTTACAAGTGTCGTTCTGGCCCGGAGGTTAAGACGCACGCTTCTCATGCATGAAGCTGCGGGTTCAAAACCAACCAATGGCAAGTACCAATGTGACTTTTCCGAGTTATATGTACTTTCTAAAATAATTTAGACACCACTGATAAACGGTGAAGGAAAACATCGTGAGCAAACTAATTATAAGTTTGAAATTTAATGTTCGAACCTTCTCCGTGTAAGAAGAGGCTTTGCTCAGCAATGCGCACTTATGGGCTGTTGATGATGAAGTGATGAAATATGTTTAAAATGTATGGTTTTTTATTTATGGTTGGTAGCTTCTTGGAACGATTTATTTTAACACAGAGTTTGGTAATATGCTTGATGCTACGTGATTAAACAACATGGGATATTTTTATGTGGTCCTACTACTAAATTTTCGGGCCTAATTTTGACTGTTTTGAAGAAAAGAAACGCGTTGTAATATTAAAAATAGAACACAGATATTGAATGTCAAATGCGGGAATACTGAAACGTTACTCAATTTTAAGTCGTGCTTAAATATCGTGCCATCTCTGTCATTTTACAAAGAATTTGTGGAGACAGAACTATACTTCAGCGCGACTTAAAATTGAGTAGCGTTTGAGTATTCCGACAATAGAGGCGTGTCTGAGAGGTTTGGTTTTTATGAAAATTACGTTAAAATCTTATAAGTTTGTTATAAAAGAATATTCAACCTTGCAATCCTATACATAAGGTTGCATTTGTACTAACCCCACCAAATATTTTCAGAAAACAATCCGAAGCACATAAGTACTGGTTCTACCTGTACTCCGTCATCAGTTCATATCTAGACACGACGACGGATCCCGTACCTGCTGAAAGAGTCATAACGGTGCTCAAAGACTTCATGGAAAAATCGAACTTAGCTGAGTACGAAATAAGGTTGGATATCATATTCGTGTACCATTGTCACTTGGTGCATTTAGAAGCTTCGGAGAGGAGAGGTAACATTTATTTTTTATAGTAATTTTTAGATAATTTTTTTGTAGGTTGTCGTTGTGTATGTAATGGTTAATTGTTTTATTCTAAAAATAAAGTTTATTAGCCTGTTGACGCGGACTATTGTTTATTTATTCTCAATTTGTAAGTGGTTGCAATAACGACTGCTAATCATGTGGGCCTATCTTCAATCTGTTATTGTTCGTAGTCTAGTTTTAAGTTTAATATTTGCAATATATTCATTCTAAATTACCTCTGAACCACATAATTTTAAACCTAAATAACAACTAGCGAAATGTGTGTTTGGTCTTTTAGGTGTATATACAACTAGCTTTTACCCGCGGCTTCGCTCGCGTCACAAAAGGATAAAAAGTAGCCTATGTGACATATACCAATACACACAGCGCCATCTATACCAATACTTTTGTTTTTCCTCGGTAATATCAATTTTTTCCGGGTTAAAAAGTACCCTATTATTTAATCCGGACTTCTAACTTTACGTCTGCAAAAATTCAAAGCAATCGATTGAGTACTTACGGCGTGAAGGTGGAACAAACAAACAAACTCACTTTCAGATTTATAATATTAGTAAGGATGATATTTAAAGCACATCAAACTATTTATTTACAACAAATCTAATTTGATTCTCCTACAGATGAACTCCTCGCCATCCTATGGAACACATACAATTACTATGCGCAATTTAGCGCACAAGTGGCCGCCCATATTAAAGAGAAGCGCGCACCCATTGAGAAGAAATTGCGCGACTTTGTGAAGATTTGCACTTGGGATAGAGACCTTAGCTACTGGAGTGTCAAAGACACTGTCGAAAAGGCACATAAAGCGCTTCATAAACATACTAAGGAGTTTGAGGTAAGTAAAGAAAGGTGTTGATTTTGGAAATGAAATCTTATCAAGAGGTATTAAAGTTTAGTTTACATTGAAGATTGTGTTTGGACCTTTTTTGCGCAGAAAATGTGCTTCAGAAAAGTTAAATTTACTATTATTGAAAATAGAGTTTACATTTGCTTAAACTGTCCGTGTATAGGTAACTGTCATCTACTACAATGTAGTTGATCTTCTTTGGATATAACAAATTGTACTCAATTTATATTTCTAACGTTATATTTATAGTTAAGAAGCAAGACGGTCAACTTTTTTATTTTCTCTTCTAGAACGTTCTAAAAGAAAGTGTAACAAGCTGTATAGTGGACAACTCGACAGAAGTGATAGGCGACCATGTGGGTATATGGGACCGACCGAAACGTACCACGACGGCTAACGCACCCACCGGCGGCGCGTACATGATCGATGTGCAGAATTATATGCTCGTCTGCAGAAATATTAAGGTAAACATTTTTATATTAACTGTGCTAGGACGTTATGGGAAGTTCATTGTGGATTTTTGCGCAGGTCTCGTTTTCGTTGGTTTTTTACTATTTAATTAATTAAAAATCAGGTTATTGACGTGAAAATACTGAGGTAAGCTCTACTAGCTTCTCACATATACTTACAGTATTGGAATATGTATCAGAGACATTGTAGAACATACTTTTTTTTAAAAAGAGTAACAAACGGTTTTTTTTGCTCGTTCTTCTCCATTCGAATCTACATTTTGGAATGAGCACCTAGCTTCACCTAGCTTCACTGACGGACTGACTGACAGACTATTATTGATTTTGTATTCGTTGACGTTTCAAAAGTACTAAATTATGGTTTATTTGAAGTAAATGCTTCGACTTTGACTTAGCTTCGAACCACAGAGGGGTTCTTCCTCATGAGCAACGTGCGCGGTCGCGGCGATGTCGCGCGACCTACTAGTTCGAAACTAGTAGAGCTTTTCTCAGTAAATTGCCAGGAGTAACCCGCGATTTATATGTAATTAATTTAGTACGTCTCACGATAGTTATTATTTTGACAATTTGTTTGTGTGCGTCATCAATGTTCTTTTTTTTCTATATCTCGTATTTGGTTGTGTTGAATTTCAGCATAGCTATTTATTATGTAGTTAAGAAAATAAACATTGATTCAGTACAGAGACAGTGACTATTGGCTGGCTACTGAACCAACCAATGGTTAATGATGTGGCTTGGTATAAAACTATATAATTTAGTACAAAAATAACTATCTATTGTTTCTGAATTAAGTCAATCTTTATATTCTTATCTGCATAGTAATAAAATAGCTGTGTTGACTGCACTTTCAATGGTCCAGTTTCGGAAATGTAACAAATAGACATTAATTAAATAAAATTTTCATCACGCGCCCTATACCTACCGTGCCTGCGCAAAATTTGACAATGACCTAAAATTTTGGTCCGTATTTAAGTCGATATGAAACTAATCCAATTTAAAAGTAGACGATATTTTTTACCACTAACTATATACAGTCGGTATGAAGATTTTATAGCATGACTGTAACACTTGAACTACTAATTGTTTGGAGGAGTTTGGTTTAATTGCACGGGATATACTAAATAAATACTTGAAGGGATTCGAACAATTAACTATTGTAACTTTGTAGAGGTATATTAACATCAATCTCATATACGCAACACAAATGTACCATCGGCGAAGTTTACGGTAGTACAGTTTTTAAACAAAATCCTGTGGTAAATTCGCTATCCACCTGGCGTTTTCTTTGCGGTCGCTCGCGCCGAGTGCATGCGAATATCGCCTAATAATGGTCCACCGCCAACTTTGTCGATTGTACTTAAATATTTGATCTGCTGTGGTCAGTGGTTTCTTAGATTGACCTTTTTTCTTATTCTAACACTAACAAATTACAAAAATGTCGTAAAAAGTAAAAAAGACTGTAACAATTAGTTTATAAGGTTCAATACCCACACTACGCACCATACTCCATTGTAGTTAATATTTTTTTCTTATGTTTTTGTTTCATTTTACAATGACACTGTAATAAACACATACTAATGCTGGTTTTGTTTTTAATTCACAGCCCTTGCAGGTAGTATTGCTTGTTCAGATTATTTAATTTTTTGTTGCGAAGCTTCTGTACGCATTTGGACCTACTTTTATTTATTACCATAGTTTCTTCTGTAATACAATATTTATGATAATAATGGAAATGTACTACATACACACTTAACAGATACGATTTGGATTATATAAGATTTTGAACAGTTCTAGAGAACAGAAGCCTTAGAACGAGTAACATTCGTCGCGCTGATTGGTTGGTTTACTTGCGTCGGCCAATCAGGCCGCCGAATAAGAAAGGTCTCTTGCATGAATGTATTTAAATTTTAGAAACAAACAATGTAAAGAAAATAATGTCTAATTTGTTTAAGGATAAGATTCAAATTATTTTAATTGATAAAGCAACTTGATCGAAACGTTTCGAATTGTTCTCTTAAATCTAAATAGTGTTGAAAAATTCAAAGCATGAAGGTTCAATAGTGCACACAAGCTATCAATTAATTTAAAAGCTGTTTGTTTTTTTTAATAAATCGTAGTGGTTGCGGGGTAGAATTTGTAAACAATAATACACTTGTTTGTTTACAACATAGCTAACAATATCTTAGTTCATTTCACATGGGAAGGGTAGATTGACCGTGACAAATGATGCCATCCATTTTACTTATTTCAGTTATTGTAAACAGTATATAAAAATAAAAACCTTCAATGAACGAATAGACACATGAAAATCTGTTTCAAATTTTAATATGGTTTGGTTTTAAATTCGTAACTAACTATAACCGTTTAAACGCGTAACTTATATCCAAACTAGTTTTTACCCGCGGCTTCGCTCACGTCACAAAAGTATAAAAAGTAGCCTATGTGACATATAACCATATACACAGCGCCATCTATAATAATACTTTTGTTTTCCCTCGGGAATATCAATTTTTTTCGGGATAAAAAGTACCCCATTATTTAATCCGGACTTTTAACTTTACGTCTGCAAAAATTCAAAATAATCGGTTTAGTAGTTACGGCGTGGAAGCGGAACAAACAAACAAACTCACTTTCCGATTTATAATATTAGTAAGGATACTCAAACACAACTCTCTAAGACGCACTTAAGTATAGTACTGTCACTATAAATTCTTTGTAAATGAATGAGATGGCACGATTTTTAAATACAACTTAAAATTGAGTAGCCATTCAAATTTCGGGCGTTTAACTTTAAAATCAATACCAAAACGTCACCGTACCCTTCCTATATGAAATAGACCAAACATTTTTGTATCATTCACAAAATTTCATACGTAATTTGTTTTTTTATTAGCGATATATATCTTTACTGGACGAGCCTTGCAAATTGATAGCAGACGGAAGCTTATTGTTAAGGGTTGCCAGTTTATTGGACAAAACTAGAGCTCTATGTAAGGATACTATTACGAATACTGGGTACCCATCCCTGGTGCAGGCTTTGGATGACTTTGTCACCATTGTTATTGAGACCAGCCAGCATCTTGGGTCTTTGGAGGTGAGTTCTTAATTGAATTTTATATTTTTGTATTAGTATGACGTTTTTTTTTTAGATTTTTGATGAGTGTCTTTTCGTATGAATACGTTAAGCAACACTGCCTTGTGAATAAGGTAGTTGCTAGGGTATGAAAATTAAAAATTTAATAAGTCCGTGAGTTATATAATGAAAACATATTAGACATGTATTTTTTTATTTTCTCGTATAAAGTTGCAATACTTAGATAAAATGGAGTTAAGTTTAGAAATGGGAGGTCGGTCAATCGACGTTACAAACGAAACGTCACAAAGTGCTACAAAATGTAGCACGTTGTGACGTCACACGATTTAAGAAATTAATATATCGTCGAAAGTAGGTATTTAATTTTGTTAGAAAAGAAAAAATGCGTGTCTAATGTTTTAATATAATCAACCAGATGAAAATTAAAATAAAATTAGGAAACTAACCTATTGTAGTGACTTTAGTGTTAAATCAAAATTCTGGGGTTCAACACCGGGGTTTTAATTTTTAATGATTTCAAGTTTTTGTTTATAGTAACACTGATATTTAAATTCTAAGCACGCTAAAATATTTGGTTATATTTAAGAAATACATAATGCTCGATTATACTAATGATTACATTCAATGATAGTGGTGATTCTGTGTCTATGATGATGATTTTAATTGTAATTATCAATTCTCCAATAGGTGGACGCCTCCCTACCAAAAGAAAAACAAACGTCTCAAGCTAAGAACTTTATACAGCAAAAGCGCAAAGCGTTAGCAGATTTATTCAAATATTTGACTAAACTCGGTCTCAACTACCGTACCGGCCTAGTCATAATAGCGTCGGGTAAAGAGCTATACGATTTCACTATACCGCCCGTCGATTTGGAACCTGCTGTTGGTCATCTGAAGAGCCGGTGAGTACTTAAGTTTATTTTATTATAAGATTTGGCTGGCTGTTTTGTACTGAATTTTCGGTTTGCTAACCAACATACATAGTACGTGCGATTACTGAGTAAAAGGTCATAAGTTTGATACCTGTGTTTGGTAAAGTATTTTTTTTATGTCATAAGCCAGTAAACGAGCAGACGGATGACCTGATGGTAAGCAATCGGCGTCGCCCATGAACACCTGGAACACCTGAGGCGTTACAAGTGCGTTACCGGCCTTTTGGGGTTTAGGAGTTTGAGGATCGTTGGGGATTCAGGAATTGGGATTATTGAGATAATTGGTATCACTGAGATGTTTTGAGTTCTTCGGGAATTGTTATTATTAGCACGGATTCTGAAATTATGCCTGGTGTATGGCAAGAAGGCGTTCACCCGTATTACATGGGACTCATAATAAAATAACATAACTGCTGAAAAGTGAACGTCATATTGTATCTGCGTACCACTTTGGAAATTAAAAGCGGTGATGTTGTATTTGTAACATTGAATAAAGATCGATCTTGTTTTTATGCTTAAAATAATAAACACATTTTTGCAGACGATGCGACACCACTTTGTCTCTTCTATGGTCTGGTTGTGAGAAGTACTTCCAGAAGAACATCGCTCGACACAGGACCCTCAGTCTAGCACTGCAGTCTCCTCACCAAGACTTAGGCATGCAGAACATTGAAAGATTGAAAGGATTTGCCGCGCAATTGTTGGTAAGGAATTAAACTGTATTTGAAACTTATGTTGATAGAAATAAGACCGTAAATCGTTGGAAAATACCATTTTTACATTATGTTTCATAATATGTTAGAAAATAAAAGTAAGTTATATATTTTTTATGAAAGCGTCTAATGGACGCATGGCTTAAATGGAGAGCCTTCAATTTTGACGGCCTTAGTGATAGGACGAATAAAGTTTAAGTATGGTTCATTAAAGCCATATAGTGTTTTAAAAATAGATACTGTTACGAGAGTCCTTTAGGATTTCTTTTTAAAAAAAACTAATTTTATATTAAAACTATTTTAATTAATTAAAGGACTGAGTATACAACCGTACCGTTCGGGAGATCTTGTTCAGACTGACTGGCATGCACCTTACACGTTAAGATATAATAATGAATGATGCATTTCTTATGTCATCCCAGCATAAACCCTTACATATCAGGGATATAACACCTCCCCCTTTAAGAAGAGGCTTTGGGGTTGGTTCAAAGTCTCTTTTATATTATTACCCTAAGTGGAGCAATATTACTTGTATTAGGTGTACTATCTTCGAAACCTGTTTGTCTATCTGTCATTTCTATTGAAGGTTCAGGCTGAGATGATGTTATACAAATATTTGCTCTATTCCTACGGGAACGGTTATATCGTTGACAAATTTTCTTATAAACTAGGTAATTAAGAAATATAAGTATAAAGATTACAATTGCCAGTGTTACAATAGAATAGTGTTTACCATATGTTACAATATGAGGGGTTGTTGGATTTGTTACAAATTCAAGGTCATTTAAAATAGACTTTATCATCATTATAATTGGTATGTAAATCATCTAGGTCTATGTTATTTAGTTTTACAGGGAGTATATTACTGGCATTTTCATATACTGTTTTTATGGAACAACAAGAGTCTTCAATAAGTTAAAATCTGGAAAATGTCTGATTGGTGAAGTTATATTAAAATTGTTTTGTTTAGGTATAAGTGTGGTAGCTTTACAGTGGACAATGCAATTTTTGGGGATACTTAATATCCCTGTACCTGAAATGGTGGTTTCTTTTAATTTGTTATTTAAACAGTCTATCGATATTTTGTTAGGTTTTGACTGTACAAAGATCCATTTATTATTGATCAGGGATTTCCAGATATTTACCTTTCCAATGAGGATCTTCGTATGACATTGAGCAGGTTTCACGCTAATTACCTTGGTAAGGAGTTCACTTTCACATGTAGGTTTTGCATCAGTAGAATACACATTTTCAATATCACAGATATAATTTCCAGAAGTCACTATTTTACAAATTTCCAAACTATTGAAAACACAATAGTAGGATTTGTCTTGGTCATTGCTATGTATTTGTTATCAGGGAGAATTAAACTGAAAGTGTTTGGTTTGAAGTATTGTGTGGTGTTGGTAATGCAATATTATGAAATAGCAGATATTCTTGAGTTTTTACCATTGGCACTTGCAATAAAAAACTACCTTATTACTAGTATAGAAACAAACTAACTTAGAAATACTTAAAAAACATGTATGGACTTAATATCTAAAGATACAGGCAACTCAAGGTCACTGGGTAAATGTCTATAGTTATCTACTAGTTCCTTGTGGAGTTGTGTAGGGGTTACTATTGCAGGGTGTAAAATATTTTGGGTGCTAAATAGGATAGCGTTAGTGATATCTTCTAGTTGAAAAGATAGAGTAAGTATCGATGTCTCGAGGGCATTGATAACTTCATTGACATTTGTTTGTATTTGTAAACCATTTGTGGTTTCAGTAATGTTTCCAACACTCACTGAAAGTCTATCAATGGCTTCTTTTGAGTTTGCCTCGTTCTCTATTATTTTACTTAATGTAACGTTATACTGAGTTAAAAACAGAAGTGGTTATTAAAATATTCTCTTTTAATAATGAAGCTAATTTCTTTTCATTGAGTTGTAATGTTTTGATAGTTTCGTCATATTGTAGGCCATCGTTTTCATCTAGGTGCCGAATATTTTCTTTAAGATTGTTCCTGCACCACTAACCCAGGCGGAACGTTTTGTCCTGTTATCAATTAAATGTGAGATTGATGTTAATTCCTTACTCATATCTTGGAAACGGCCGACAATGGTTTTAAATTATTATAACAAATGGAGATAATCTCTATAATTCTGGTTTGTTTACATAAATTTCCAGTAACTAAAAGCGCTGATTTGATATTATCAATATGTGGTTTGAAATGAGATATGTCTACAGGTATTACTATACTAAGTTCAATATTGTTTATTCGTAGCTTTCCTAAATAATCGAAGTAGAGTCCGGAACTAGAGTTGATTGGCTCGATGAAACTCTGGTTAGGTTGACTCTGAGCTGAACTGTAAAGATAACCTAAGGTAAGTCTAGAGTAATTTAAGATTATGTTTTATTTCCTAAATTACGGAGCTGCTTCTGCCAGCTTCACTTGGTCATAATGATGTATGACGTGACGTCGGTTGATGAGTAAGGTAAGTGTGTTGTTTCCGTTGATTCTAATTACCTTGTAAGGCCCTTTCCACTGTGGTGAAAGTGCCTTGCGCATTCGCAGTGATTCTTCAGGTACACGTAATCACCGACTTTGTATTTCGCAGGGCGAGTGCGAGTGTCATAGTAATTTTTGGAAGTTTCTTTGGATCTCCTTATGGAGTCCAAGGCTTTGTCTCTACAATACTTTAATCTATCTGAAGCATGCGGACATAGTCAGGGTAGTTGCTCCTGGGGCTTCGTCATAGATAGAATTTGGGATCAGAGGTTTGCTTCCGAAAGTTAGTTCGAATGGGGTGAAATTGGTTGTTGAATGAACGGATGTGTTATAGGTAAGCATGGCTGTGTACACGTATCTGGGCCAGTTGGACTGTTCTTCATTTACGAAAGATCTAAGGTATTCTTTGAGAGTCGAGTGACTGCGCTCAAGGGCGCCTTGCGTCTGCGGATGGTACGGGGACGACCAAAGGTTCTTATTTTAAGGAATTCACAAGTTTTGCGGAATAGGTCCGATGTGAAGTTAGTTCCCTGATCTGTGAGGATCATTTTTGGAATGCCAAAGATAGATATATAGTGAAGAAGACATTCACTAGTTTCTTCTGCAGTAGTGGTTCGAATCGGGTAAGCAGAAGAGAATTTTGTTAGATCATCTTGGATGGTTAGTATGTACCTCAATTTGGCGGGACCTGCTTCAGGTAGTGGCCCGACTATATCTAAGGATATTCGCTGAAAGGGTTGAGTGGATGTGCTTGTTATTTGCATGGGGGCCCGATTTATTTGTCTAAGGGCTTTGTTAGTCTGGCATTGTACACATTTCTTGACGAAATTTTCAATGTCAGTCCGCATATTTTTCCAATAGAAGTTTTCTTGAATTCTTTTAAGGCATTCTATTACTACCTAAGTGTCCAGCAATAGGAATGTCGTGATTCTCCCTAAGTATCTTGGGATTTCAGACGACGATGGGTATATGATCGATCCTTTGTATACGTGTACATTTATGTTACTGTTATTGAATAAATAGAGAAGCATATTATATATTTTAACATATTGATGACTATCAAATGGGTTTTTAAATCTGTTATGGAGATGTCAGGGTTCGAGTCTAGGTCGAGTTTAATAACTAACTCGTTCCTGATTGTTCTAAGGCTCTCATAGATGTCTGGATAATCAGATTTATCAAAATGATGTACTTAAAAAAAAAAAGGAGATAGTATAGTTTATCTTTATTTTCAAATGAAATGAATGAATTCAAGGATCTTTCTTTGGAGATAATTTCTGAACTGTTGGGGATATTGTCCATGATATTTTGGACATATGGATTTGACACATCAAGGTCAATGGAAGTAGTAAGATAATTATTTTAATTTGGATTTAGATATATCTTCATTGTGTTCTTGGATTATGGTATTAAAACTCGTATTATCCTTTCGTGCTAGTGCCCTCAGGAATGCAGGATAATTATCGTCAGATAGATCAGGTAAGTCATTAATGATTTCAGTGTTGCCATCTGGTTGCTGAGCCAGTGGTATTGCAGCTGGAGAGTCTGAAGTCGGCGAGCATCGTGTGGTAGAGGGTAAGTGGTTGCTAGTGTTTTCTTCAGGACTTCAGATGATTCAGGGATAGGTTTTTTTCAGGAATGGGAGTAAATCATTATCATTCAGAGCAAGAGGATCTGACGTAGGTGAGTTTAACGTTTCAGGGTCGAACGAGGGTGGAGATATATAGTAGATCCATGAGGTCTTTATCTACTGCCTGAGAGGGTTCGTTTTCGATTTTAGATTCAGAGTTAGAGGTAGATTCCGGTTGGACTGGATTTACCGGAAATCGGGAAAGGGCGTCGGCATTGGAATTTATTTTACCCTTTTATATTTATATCGTATTCAAACTCTTCTAGTTTAAGTCGCCAACGGATTAATCTTGAACCAGGATCTTTACAATTAAAGAGCCATTGTAGGGGCTTATGGTCAGTAACAATGGAGAATCGGTTGCCATATAGGTAAGGCGAAATACTTTGGTGCCGAACAATATGGCAAGACATTCTTTCTCCGTGACACTATAGTTGCATTCTGCTTTATTCATAGTGCGGGATGCAAATGCTATGGGACGGTCTTGACTTATTTGACCTTGGGATAAAATAGCGGAAATCGCGTAATTTGAAGCATCACAGGTAAGGATGAAGGGCTGAGAGAAATCAGGATAGGCTAATACGGGGGCGGAAACAAGTTTATCCTTTAAACTTTCGAATGATAACTGTTGGGTATTTTCCCATATGAAGGGCACATCTTTTTTGAGTAAGTTAGTTAGAGGTTTAGCTAGTTTAGAAAAGTCCTGTATAAACCGTCTATAGTATGACACAAGACCTAAGAACGATTTTATCTCTTAGGTGATTTAGGTGTGGGAAATTCTGTGACGGCTCTGACTTTATCTGGGTTAGGTTGAACGCCATTTTGACCAATTATGTGCCCTAGATAAGTGACTTCCTTCCGGAGGAATTCG